GCGGAGGGTTTTAGGTGTTTGAAGCCTGGCAAACGGCAGGCTCGAATGCCCTAACAAGAGAAGGCTGTGCAGGCAAAGGGCAGGCTGCAATGCTGGAACGCTGACGGCCAGGAAAGAGCAGCAACCCTGGAGCAGCAAAGGCTGACAGCCAGGCTTGGTGGAAGCTGCCGCGGGGGGTTTTAGCAGCAACCCTGGAGCAGCAAAGGCTGACGGCCAGGCTTGGTGGAAGCTGACGCGGAGGGTTTTAGGGGTTTGAAGCCTGGCAAACGGCAGGCTCGAATGCCCTAACAAGAGAAGGCTGTGCAGGCAAAGGGCAGGCTGCAATGCTGGAATGCTGACGGCCAGGAAAGAGCAGCAACCCTGGAGCAGCAAAGGCTGACAGCCAGGCTTGGTGGAAGCTGCCGCGGGGGGTTTTAGCAGCAACCCTGGAGCAGCAAAGGCTGACGGCCAGGCTTGGTGGAAGCTGACGCGGAGGGTTTTAGGGGTTTGAAGCCTGGCAAACGGCAGGCTCGCATGCCCTAACAAGAGAAAGCTTTGCAGGCAAAGGGCAGGCTGCAATGCTGGAACGCGGGTGACTCCAGGAGAATATCATCAAACCCCTGGAGCAGCAAAGGCTGACGGCCAGGCTTGGTGGAAGCTGCCGCGGAGGGTTTTAGGGGTTTGAAGCCTGGCAAACGGCAGGCTCGAATGCCCTAACAAGAGAAAGCTGTGCAGGCAAAGGGCAGGCTGCAATGCTGGAACGCTGACGGCCAGGAAAGAGCAGCAACCCTGGAGCAGCAAAGGCTGACGGCCAGGCTTGGTGGAAGCTGCCGCGGAGGGTTTTAGGCATTTGAAGCCTGGCAAACGGCAGGCTCGAATGCCCTAACAAGAGAAGGCTGTGCAGGCAAAGGGCAGGCTGCAATGCTGGAACGCTGACGGCCAGGAAAGAGCAGCAACCCTGGAGCAGCAAAGGCTGACGGCCAGGCTTGGTGGAAGCTGCCGCGGACGGTTTTAGGTGTTTTAGGGGTTTGAAGCCTGGCAAACGGCAGGCTCGAATGCCCTAACAAGAGAAGGCTGTGCAGGCAAAGGGCAGGCTGCAATGCTGGAACGCTGACGGCCAGGAAAGAGCAGCAACCCTGGAGCAGCAAAGGCTGACGGCCAGGCTTGGTGGAAGCTGCCGCGAAGGAATTGGAGGGTGTTAGGGGTTTTAGGGGTTTGAAGCCTGGCAAACGGCAGGCTCGAATGCCGTAACAAGAGAGGGCTATGTGCAGGCAAAGGGCAGGCTGCAATGCTGGAACGCTGACGGCCAGGAGCTTGGTGGAAGCTGCCGCGAGGGATGTGCAGGCAAAGGGCAGGCTGCAACCCTGGAGCAGCAAAGACAAAGCAGGTTCCACACCTCCGGTGGTCCCAGGCGCCGCCCCTGCCTTGGCGAAGGCCAGGGTCGGCGGATTATAAGTGAAATCATCCCCAAATGGTTTTAATTCAGTGAAATATTATAACTTACCCAGATATATGATTTGCTAAATGCTATATTAACAGCCTTGGGGTTTATTCATTCGAAGTTGACGTATTTTTATTATGTCAAACACAGCAAAACATAAAATGATTAGTGGTGATTGACCAACATGAACCAATAAGCTTGGTTTGGCACCGATCTACATCCAAATGGGACAAAAAACGGAAGCACAGCGCATTCCAAACCGTAGAGTTCTGGCTGTTCCATAGGGCTATGTCTGAGTTTCCCGGCAGTTGATCTAAAAATGAGTTCTAAATGCAGACTTTGACCAACTCGAGCACTTCAGACTGTCAAACACGTTCCACCATGTTTGGAGAAATCCACCCTGACTGTTCCTAATATGTTTCATTACTGCATTGAGCAAAGGGAAAAACACATGATGAAAGTTGAGGGAAGAAGCAATACCCCAGTCCTCAACTGCTTTCACTGGACCCCATTTGGGCCCATCCCCATTGACCAGCCCGATTGCTTAAGAAGTTGCTAGCAGTTTTTGGGGTCATTTCAGGCCAGCAAGTCCGGGAAACTCAGGGGGTCACGCTGGTCGTGGCAGGTCGCGGGATTTCAGAGGCCCATTGTTGGGAAAATGACTGGTTGGTGCTTTGGAACCATGGAATTTTATGATTTTCCCATCATATTGGGAATGTCATCGGGCCCCAACTGACGAACTCCATCATTTTTCAGAGGGGTAGGTATACCACCAACCAGATGATGATCAACGTGGATCCAATATGTTTTTTAATGTGTTTTTTTTCAGATATTTTTTTCCCGCCATTTTTCGGACGCAGCCACCTAAGAACCCGGAAGCTGCTGCTGAGGTCCGCCCCAGTTTGCGACAGCTACGTTGGGTCATGACTTCAATAGTTAATCATTAGATAATTAGATAATGGTTTATTGTCGGGTTTCCCACATTATCATAACTTCAATAGTTAATCATTATGGTCAATGTGGGAAACCCAACAATAAACCATGCCCAAGTCATCACCAGCTAGAAACCATTCCCAAATGGTTTGTCTATGGCAGCCAGGATTTCCCACATTTGATGTAAGGGTTTGTGGATGTTTGTGGTAGATATGTGTACCATCTGGTTATTTAACATAGCCATGGAAAATCACCATTTTTAATTGATAGGTAAACATCTATTTCTATGGGCCATTTCCCATGGCTATGTTAAATAACCAGAGGGTATACTTAAATGCCGAATGTCGAGCTAGTATTCATATACCCTCTGGTAAACAGCCACATAACTATGGTAAATCACCATTTTGTAGCTCCGTAAATCAACGATTTCTATGGCTATGTTCAATAGCTATTGAAAACATGTCAGTTTACCAGAAATGTTAGTTTAAAATAGTTTAAATGTTAGATACCATCTTGGACATTTAAGATTAGTTTACCAGAGGGTATCAACAAAACATATCATTTGGCACCACCGTGGCGCCGTGGCGCCTTTCGAGGATTAAGAACACCGATATCTCGGCTCATCTGAAACTTCCTCCTGCTGCTTGGCGATGAATTCAGCGTCCTTCCGGGCGCCCGGGAAAATCATGTGGAGATGCCAAGAAAACAAAGGAACTTGGGAAAACATCTGGAGGTTTCCATAAATGTGGGTATCCCAACAGCTGAATGGTTTATAAATGTTTATAATGGAAAATATTACTAAAATGGATGAGAACTGGGGGTACCCCCATGGATTGGAAACTCCCATCTTGTTTGACTTGCTGCAGGTGTTTTTATTCCTGAGAAACTTGAGGACACCGCAAAAGACCTATAGATCGTGTGGATTTTCCACTTACAAAAACATGTGAAATCTGGCAAATGTTGCAGAGAAACATGGGTGATAAATACTATGCGATGCTTCATTGTGGCAACAAAAAACACCTGAGAGAGGACGGACAGTCTTGGAAGTGCTCATGGGTCACGAGTGACTTCTTCAATTCCCCATGTTCAAACATGGTTCATGACTGGTTCATGTGGGGGGAATTTGAAGAATTACCCACTCAAGACTATGAGCAGACACATTGGATGCCCCCAGTCTTGGAGGATTTGGAAGGAAAGATTAACATGATGAGTTCATTGATCAATGAACTGTATTTATGCAAGTGATATATCATGATATATCTACATAGTATAGATATATGATATTTTGATGTTTGAGGAAGACAGCAACTGGCTATATCTGGGCTTAGGGGAACAATGACAGCGGGACAGCCCGATCACGGGCTCTGACTGACGGCATCGGCAACAGGTGAAGATCCACTGCTCTGTTTTGGCAGAGGAAGCAATTCAGGTGCGGGGATGTGCAGGGGGGGTTGGGGACCAAACATAGTTACTAAATGTTACTAACTAGTGTTAGCGCGCAGAATCTTTGTTGAGATTAATTTAAAGATCGTCATGGGTTTCTGAATTGAGAAGCTTAGGCAAAGTGGACTTCGCAAACATTGGAAGCTAGCAACAGATTCAGTTTCCCGGAAAGCCTAAATGTGATGAGAAACTCTATGTTTCTTATTTCACAGGGATATGAGTTGACCTGTTGACCGTGTTGACCTGTTAGCAGGTGAAGCAACATGCCATGGAGGATGTTACCGTGCCACCATGAAATTCTCGCGTGTAGCCCATCCAAATGTTTCCATGAGTTCATCATGACTGCCGATCACATGACCCTTGGTGCTTCAAGCGTGAAGCTTCCGCCTTCCTTTCACAAGTCACCCAAAGAATCGTCATCTTCCAATTCATCTTACAATCCTCTTTTGAACCAGAATCGTGACCTCATCACGTCAAGTAAAGAGATCGCTGCAGCAACTTTCGCGGAGGCAACCGCGTAGGCACTTCTTGAAAGGTAACCCTCGCGTAGGCAGTTTCGCATCGGAGGAGTGGTTTGCGTAGGCCCCGGGTAGGGGTCCCAATTTGATCCAATTTGTGTATTGGAGTTTAGGGAAAAAACGCAACTCATTTGGTTTTGAGGATAGCATAGGATAGCCATAATGCAACCTATGACATCTCTCAGCTGTGGACTGCGGCGAAAAACAGTCGTATTCAACAGGCTGCGATCGCTGACTACAAGGGAAAGCAGAGTCTTGTGATGCACTGGGAAAGGGCCCGGGGTTTTTGGTGCGCCATGTGAACACTACCAAGTCACTGCCAAATGATATCTGATCAACTGGAAATGATGTGTATACAGTTTTGGAATGTTTTGGAGAAGTGGTATCTTTCAGCCCTTTCAGATGGAACATCATGGAAACCATTTTAATGGTTTCATCATTCGTTTCATCCGTTTCAGGACCAGCATATTGTGCAGGGTCCCAGCTTCAAAGCTGGATATGATTCGATCACCAATCACACACACACATTGTTACCGGGTTCAATGTGGATAGTAGACTTCGGATTGTGTAGGACCGGGTATATGTGCCCTGACGCCATGTCTCCTGCCATCGAAGGAACATTTCACCACCCGCAGAATGAATGACTTGAGCGATGCGAGCGTGCTTCGCTCAGAATTGTTGTTCCATATGTGAACAAGTTTCGGAAGGAGCCAGGGCCATATTCAGAATGCTTGGAGCGTCAAATACCGGCCCTGATGTCTTGCAGCTGTTTCCATCGGTAGCTATTGTCAGCCGTCGCGACAATCAGTCAAGGATGGGTAGTTCGGACGAGCGAAGCTCGCAAAGAGCATGGCAACACCTGATGCATCCTGATACTAAGAATTGTGGACCTCTGCAATCCCCAGCGCCATGATTATTATATATCAACTGATAAACATGGGCGCAAATCAGACCTGGTATTTGCGTTGAATGAGGTTTTTGCGTGCTAGGCTAAGCAGAGACATCTCCATGACCTCCTGATTCGTGTATGAGTCGATACTTAAAGTGTTGACATTTCAACATCATTTCTGTCTCTCAAGCTTGGGTGATTCATATCCCTTTTGAGCCACGTCAAAAAAATACCTTTTATATACATAGATTTGTAGCAAGAGGGTGGCAATAAGGACCTCGCACAAGAAAAACCCTGGTGTGCGTAAGAAAGCGTAAGCATCAGCGTAAGCTATTCCTGCGCGTAAGCTAAAACTGCGGGTGCGTAAGCTGCTGCGTAAGCATTCCAACCTTTTGGACACAGCTCTGTTGAGGACAGATACGAATTGAAACATCGCAGGGAGTTGCCATGAAATCACTGCTGAGAAGTGCATAGCTGTACAGAAACGCCTTGGAAGCTGTGCAGTCCTGGAGTTTCTGGATTTGCACCTTTTTCCAGGCGAGAGCATGAAGATGAAGTAAATCACTGCTCATGCTGTGTATTCAGACAGTAGATGACAGTATTTTTGGCAATGTGTTGAGTGTTCAGACTGTGGTTTGGCATTGTATATGAAAACAAACCTATATGATCCTATCAGGCTTCTTTCATCTGATTTCTGATCATGGCCCAGATGTGTTGACACAGACAGTCTTTTCATTTGCTCGCGCTGAGCAGTCAGTCAATCCGGCTGACATACCCCCGAATCCTGAGACAAAAAGCGCTACAGCGCTGGTTTGAGGTGAGGATCTCTCAAACTATCTCAAACTCACCGAATGGTAGGGGAAAGGATCCACAAAATGGCTTATTTATGGTTTGAACATGTTTGAACATCGCCATTTTTCCCGCAGAATCCAATGGTGTACCATTATTTTCCTATTCGAGTATGCATACCACTTTCAGACACGCCCAAATCCAAATGATTGGGTCGGACAGGTCACAACCAAGAGCGCAAAGAATTGGGTCACAATCACCAGACAAGGTCACGCTTGCATATTGTTATATCAAATATTAAATGATTATATCCATTTATATTCTCTCTCTATATATCTATATATATATATATTATTTATATGTACATTATACCCATTATATATAATATATTATCCCATATGGCACATATCCTATTCCAACCAGGTATCTTGTGTTCTTCACCGCAGTGTGATCTTTGCCAAGATCCCAAAGTTTTGACCAATACCCCGAATGAGTCCAGATGTCCAGCACTTGCCACAGAGGATGTGTGTTGCGATTCGTATTCTTGAGCATTTGATGATCATATCAATAGATATTGGATACATATTGGATAAATATTGGATAAATATTGAATGATTTGGGGCTAGCCCCCTTTTTGTATAGGAAACCTCCACCTATTCTGTGGTTTTCCAAAGCCGCTATATCAACGGTGGAGCGCCAAAAGCAGTATAGAGAATGGATTCAACACTGATAAACCGGTCAGAATTTTCAGGAAAGATGGGGAAAATTTGGGTGAAATCAGTGAAATCTTATCTTGTTCATGGCAACACTTGATCAATCTTGATTATATATCTTGGTCCGATGTCTCACATGAGTCAATGAGTCGCTCGGCGCCATTTCCTGTGCATGCGCTTTTCGGATCAACCGCTCTAACACCAGCGTCCCAAGTGGGGGTTCTCTAGGTCCCAAGCGCTGTTTAGGTTTAAACACTCAAAGTGATTCTATTGAATGCCCTCCCAATTGTTCCCATGTGCGATATTCAAAATGTAGCTTGGACCAGAGATACCACAGATTCTGAACATGTTCTTTCAAAAAAAGTCGCGCTTGGATGAAGACAAAGATTTTTTCTGTATTGAGATCCTCTAAACCGGCAATTGCTGGGCCAAATTCCACCAATTGTGACAATCAAAAAAAAACTTCCACACAGTTTTGTTCAATTTATTCAATGTCCATTTAATTTATGTTCATCAATTTCCATATATTTTCTATATATTTTCCATTACAAACGGTTTCTGCCATGGCCTTCACGAGTAAAGCTGGGTCCATTGGATCCATTGGGTGCATTGGGTCCATGTCTTCTCCCAGGTGCGCGCAGAAACTGCGCGCTGGAGTTGGATGAGTTGGATGGGAAACCAGGGGTGCCAATGATTTCATGAATTCCGTTTTCTGGTAAATACGAAAACCATACAAGATCCATGATAGTTTGGAAATTGTTTGGAATATGTGATCTCTAGAGAGATATGTTTGTTCGGTGATTTACGATGCAGCCATGTGTGGCTGTCTTTCTGTGGCATCATTTTGGGATCACCCAAAAAAAACCGGCTGAGTTGGCTCATTGCCAACGCATGGCAGCCATGGCAGGACTGCTTCAGGCGAGTTCCACAGATTGTGCCTTGCATTTGACTGGGCAGTGGCAAATTGTGGGTCAGCTAAGACAGCTCAGAGTTGCGTGGTGGTTTGTCGCAGAAAGCGAGTTTTTTTTGTGCCCAAGTGACCTGCAAGATTGCCCAACGAATCCCCCTTGGGATGGATGTACCTAAAAATGATGAACTAGATCGCTTAGTGGGGAAGATGCATGAAATTATATCAAATTTAGGGATGCCCTATTTTCAAAGAAGCCTTTTTTGCTGTGACTCCGAAGCAGTATCACCATGTATCACCTGTAGGGCAGTCCGTCCCATTGAAGTGACAAGGAATGATGATCCATGGTCTTGGTAGATCTTGTTGCATGGCAACTGGCAACTGCGAAGAACTGGATTATGGAGTTGAACCAGAATCAATTTGCGTCATCTATTCCAGATACCCAAGCCCAAGCATGATTACCTTTCAATGATTTTCAATGTACATGGGTGTGTAATACTATTCTGGTTGGTGGTTTGGAACATTTTTTGTTTTCCCCAATAGTTGGGATGATTATCCAATCTGACTAATATTTTTCAGCGGGGTTGAAACCACCAATTAGTATTTACCAAGAGAAGCTGGAAGAGAAGGCAAATTGATAGGTTCCAAGCCATCCATGCACAGCAGAGACAGCCTGTGGGCCCAGTGGCAAACGGACTCTGAACTTCAACAACCATAGCCATAGCAGGGGTCAACATCTGTCAAACTCCTTGATGGTTCAATAGCTCTTCAACTTACAATGTATAGTAATGAGATTTAATGAGTATGGTGTAATAATTAAATACTATAAGATCTACTAGACATCGGATTTGTTTGACATCTCTTGACCCTTATAATCGGGTCAACATGGCTCATTCCGTTCTAAGTTCTTTCCGTTTGGCTACGGCGAGGTCTGGCATGAGCTCGCATCAAGTGGGACAGTACATGGCGGCCTGTGGCTTCGCAGACTATGAGCACCTCTTTAAGGAGGGGGTCTAGATGGGCATAGCTGGGCATAGCTGGGCATAGCTGGGCATAGCTGGGCATAGCTGGGCCAGCTGACGGTGGTGGGAATATAATTCTGATATATAGTGACTCAATGGGAGTATCGAATATGGGGACATAATGGGATATATCATCCCCAAAAAGATTCGTCGAAGCGTATTTCCAGGATGTGAGACTTGGTTCTTGCATAATTTCCAGCTTTTCAGCTTTTCCACTCTTCATTCTTTATGACTGTTTTTTTTTTTTTTGTATCGCTGAAAAAACACCAGATCTGGGCGGCCAAAGGAGCACAACATCAGTGGAGATCGACTGCTTCAGTTGACCTCAGAGGATCTGAGAGACATTGGGTCCGGATCTGAGTGGTCGGGATGTTGAGCGAATGGGGTTACAGTGGAAATGTTTGAAGTTTGACGGCTTGGGGCGTGTTTATGTTTCATCTTGGCAAAGAAACGGTGCAGTTTTGCTCTTTGATGAAGTTAAACTAGTAACTAGCGGTTACCTTGCCGATTGCCAATCATCTCTTAATTTGTCGCCAAGAAAATGTGACAATCAACTCAAATGGAGACCTCAAATGGATACCTCAAGTAATCACTTCATGTTATTAATGCCACTTCATCAGTGATCCATTGGAAAGATCACCTGGGGAGGTTTGTGACGGTGGGCGACCGACTGGTGATGCAGCAGGACGGGCTGAGGTGTGTTTTCACAGTACCTCCAGGTGCGTAGAACAAATGACCCAGATTAAGTTTGATTAGATGGCAATTTTGGGTCACCAATTTTGGATACTATTGGGCGATGTATCATTTGATATCATTTGATATACCATTTTGCAGATTTGATATACCATTTTGCAGATTATATATATATATATTGATTTTAGCGGAATATGACTTTAAATAGCTTCTAATCAACCATTTGCCGTTTTGTCACAAAAAAAAACGCTGCACAGAAAACATCTCCATTTGATCGAATTGATGATCTGATCTATTTCAAGCCACTTCAATTCAATCATATACTGTACCCCGACACACTTCATAATCTTCATACTTCACACCAAACAATCTCTATCATTGAGCCAAAGATTGTCTCAATATTCTTGACTCCACACCAAAAATTGGACATGTGTGATACCGGGTGACACCCCAGACAATTCATGATTTGTAAGTTTACTTTCATGTTCCAAACATCAATCAGTCCGGTAATTTTAAACGATGTTCTTGCATGTTATGCGTACTAAACATGTATTCCAAAACCCAACATCCAACCCAACCATTCATCATCAGAGACATTATATTCAGCACTATTTAGGAATATTGTATAATATCAAGCATGCAACAAACATCTCAAGACATGTGCAATCAAAGAATTAATGGTGTCATCCAGTCCAAGAATCTATATAAGAGTATCCGGTGGTCAGGACAAAGGAGCTATGATTGTATCCATATTCCCAATGTAGAATGGGGAGCCAAGGAGGATCTACTGGGAACTTCTCAACTAGTCATTGCTTTTTCGAAATTTGTGCTCCTATCTACCATTCATGTTCTATTTCCCTATTAAATGGGGATATGATACGGGGAGCCTTTTGAACAGCCATGATAGAACATATCATTCAACATCAACCTTTATCATTCTACAGTCTATCCTCAAAACACAGATGGTGTGAAACTCCCACACACACATACCAACATTTGCAATCAAACCATCATCCCATCTAAGAGACCAAGGACAAATTCTTAGAAAAAATTGATGACCGCGTGTGCGCAGGGTTTTTCATCTCCAAATTCACAATTGGTAAATCATCCCATTTATTGTCAACTGTTTCGTAGTAAGATTATATCAGCATCATACAATACTTTATACCAGACATAGATGTTCTCTTGATTTTGATGATCAACAAAGCTACTTCAATGGTGCATGTCCCATCTAAAATACCAAAAACCACAACTTTCCCATTTGTGGTTAATACCCCCAATGTTTTCATAGTTTGTCATCCCCAAAATACCACAAACATTCCAAACATGTCCAATCGAACTACATCTATCCCATCCAACAATGAGTTGAAAATTCCACTATAGTTGACATGTTCTACCAAGAAATGCATGTTTTTTTCCAGGGGGTTGGATGATACAGCACCGCGTTTTGATGGTTTTTTCCTTCCAACACACCTCATCAGGAGATCGCCGGTCTACGGGCGGGACGCCGAATTGCTTGGCGTTCCAATAGCTTTGAGCTGGGGCAGGAGTTGTGGGTCGTTCCGCTTTTTTCCATGGGATTTTGGATGGTGTTTCTCGTATTTTCTCCATAAGTTTGGGCATTTATATTATTTTCTGGTTTTTTTATGACATCACCAGCTAGTTTTGGTAGCCTCATCAGCCTCTTTCCGATTTTTGGGATTGATTTTCGAGGTTTTAAGGTCTCATCAGCGAGTTTTGGGATTTTCCAGGCCGATTGTTTGGGAGTTCTGCTGACAAAATCCATGAACAAATCCATCTGTTAGCATTTTCGAAGCATGGCTGATGGTTTAATTCTGGATTGGTATTAGGCCAATTTTTTGGAGTGTGTGTGTGTGTTTTTTTTTCTGTTGTTTTTGTATGTTTTTGTTTCCATATTTGTTATTCTTGTGTGGTAAAAAGTGAAAGGGGTCAGGAATGGGTGAATTTTCAGAGCTGCTTTGATGATTTTTGATGAATGTTGCAGCCAGAAAGGATTGATGGCTCATAATCCTCTGAGATTGATACACAACGACGGCTGGTCACATGGCCAGTACTATACGGCTGGGGTGCAATTCCACTAAGAAGCGGTTGTATAACCCCATAGTTTCAAAGTGATACGGGTTATAGTTATATCTCAATTTCTGGAGCTTCAAATCACAAGGTTACGCCTATGTTTTAGCCCAACTGCGTCCCGTATCGTATGACCATAATCTCTTGATGTATCGAAGGAGCGCATGGTCACGTCCAAGTCGGACAGGTCTGACTCGGAGTCCAGATTGGATGCTGGGAGCTGGTTTCAGTCAGCTTTTACCCTTTGAGAGTACACCGCATGGCCATGGGAGACCACCATTTTTGGGATAAAATGATAAGGAAGCGCGTCTTGTAAAGGTTCATGGATAAAAAAGGGAGGGTATCAGTGATGTTTTTGTCTCTTTCGAGCAGAAGGGCATGTTCTCCTTTTTTAAAGGTTTTTTGTATAATTAAATATGGGGATATGGGGATACGGGGCATATGATATGGGCAACTGGGATTCACGCTATGCCGCTATGCCATAAACATACCAGTTCGGAATGGTTTCAAGCCGTTTCCAGAAAGTCATTTGGGATGGTGTATGGTTTTAGGTTTTGGGTCTACCACGGAAATGTATCAGGACTACTCAGGATTCACGGGCTCTTTTACAAATACAGGTGACCAGCGGTGGCATGTTTAAGGTGGGATGGAACACCAACGAGGAGAGAAAGTCGGAGTACCTGAAATCTGCAGAGGAGGCCACCTTGTATCCTGGGACGGAGAGAGTTGCCTCCTCATGGTCCTCATGAAGTGAAACTTCGAAGAAAACCACGCAGTTTCGGAAATATGAGACATGGACATTGTCAATGAGTGTTTCTGTAAACAGGTCAACCACACTGTGAAAAGGTATGCAACATCTTTCAATGTTGCTTACAAACATTTGTTGTTCAGATCTCAGTTTCCTTTGCTCACATATGATACTTACGGTTCAAAAAAATACTTCCTGGTGGTTGGCCCAATACTTGAAGGCCGGTGTATACCTCCTTGGTTGATGTTGGTTCTTGTTTTGCCATGTTTTGCCTGCAAACTGACCCTGTCACATCCAAGGGGCCTTTTTGCAAAGGTTATCTTAAATGGCACCCAGGTTGCAGGATATCACTGCGTCGAGCTTCTATAGCTCGCCCAAATGGGAGACCAAGTATACAGTGTACCCAATGTTTCAGAGTGGATCTCTTCGGTCGATGTTTTGTGGGGTTGCCTGGTATGGTGGCCCTAAATTTGATGGTTTATCATAAATGTATATAGAACTATATAAATGTCCCCTTTTGAGTTTTCTTTTGGGGGCTAGCCTGCTTGAATGGCGCAATCCAGCGATTTGCAGCCAGGTTTCAAAGCAGAAAGATCAAAAATCCAGGCGAAAGGCGCTGAGAAAGCACCGCTCTTCCGAGGACAGGCGAAAGGTGCTGATCCTTAAAAGACCTGGCCACTGGACACCCCAGGTTCTGATTTCTATCCACTAGACACTGTAGACCTTATGTACTTGTTGGTCATATCCCCATTACTATATTATATTGGCTTAAATCCATAGGTATTCCATATGTTTCTTGTTGAAATCCAAGATTGGCTGGTAAAATCTTGAAGAAACTCACAATTCTTGGTGAAAACCACCCGTCCTCAGGAGTTTGGCACATGTTCCGTTTTGGGAATCTTGCACATCAACTTCACTTTTTTTGGAACTTACCAACTATATATCCCCAGTAGTTGGGTAATGTTCAAGTCGGACATTTACTGGACTCATGTTTGGGAAGCCCTCATATCTTTGCGGAATACTAGAATGAATAGAACCGTTTAGAAGCCAGAAAAGTTCTAATCCTGGCTTTTTTTTGGTTGAAGATGAACATAGATTTTCACATAGATGAACCAAGTTTACCAACCTACCCTCTGGTAATTTAACATAGCTATTGAAAATCACCATTTATAGTGGATTTTCCTATTAAAAATGGTGATTTTCCATAGCTACGTTAAATTACCAGAGGGTACCAACCCCCCTGTGTTGTTCAGTCCTGCCCGGGGTGGATCAAGCCCCCAGGACCTTCGTAGCCTCCGCAGCAAGATCTGCCAAGCCTTGAGACTGGCAGCAGCACGCGAGGTGGGATCACTCGGCTGGCGAGTGACCCAAGCATTTCAGCAGCGGAAAGGTTGGGGATATATAATCCATATTCTATTCATATATAAATATATATGTTTATATATATACCCTGCAAGTCGGAAGGTCAAGTTTTACGAGGTCTTTTGCAAAAGACCAAGTTTTACGAGGTCCTCTGGTTTACTTGATTTTATAGAGCTCAGCCCTTTTTCCCATCAATGCTGAATTTGACTTGAACCCCATTTGAAACTGTTGATGCATGATTGGGAAGCATTCAATCACCTACAGATCATAGCCCCGAATGGGCCTTGCCAAGTTGCAATGAACAGCCACTAAGGCTGACATTCCGGAGCATATGCAAAGCAAATTCGTGGCGTTTCCCCTCAAGAAATTATATGTTTGGCAGAAATTTCCACACTGAAAAAATGGTTCCTAGGGTTTCACGCTCGGTTCACGTTCGGTTCACGGTCATAGTTGGTCTTTTGCCAGTCATAGTTGGTCTTTTGCCGGTCATAGTTGGTCCGGTTCACGCTCGGTTCACGCTCGGTTCACGCTAGCGATTCTGGGCCCCTGACAATTCAAAAACCATACGTTTGTGGTGGTTCCAGCCCTGGACTCCCAATGATAAAATAGTGTGGGGTACCCTATGATAAACCGCAAATTGGATATTTGGTCGGTGAAGGGATGTGGCTATCCTGAAATTTAGGTCAACAATTATTGGTTTATGCATCTTATATATTACTGTTGGACATCCATGGCCATCATCTTAACTTTGGACCCAAAAGGTCCAAGTAATAGTAGGTCCTCATCAAGTAATAGTAGGTCCTTTTCAGCAAAGTTAAAAGGCCAAGTTTTACGAGGTCTTTGACCTGGAGGGATATATATATATATATACAATATACACATATTAATATATGAAATTAAATATACATCCATAATTATAAATATATATATATATATGATACATAGATATGTATGTGGAATATATATATATGGGGGATATGGAATAATCTTATGTAATACATCTCGCTGGGGATATATAATTGGTAGGTTGATCATTGATCGGATTATATCTGCGAGTATTTAAACATCAGCACATGAGATGTAATGGGTATACAGCCAGTTGGTGATTTGGTTGGTGGTTTTATTTTTTGTTGATTACCAATCAGTTAAGCAGTTCAGAAACGGAAATTTGGGGATTGACGAGAATCAAGTATGTTTTTTCCCTAACATCATGGCATTCACCGTTCACCAAGCAAGATGCATATGCAATTAGTATGAGGCACCTAGAAACGTTCAGAGCCATAGTTGGGAGGAGTATTGCCATGATTCTATATGTATTCCTGATTGCTTTGTTGGTTAGAAAAGCATCAGCTACACAATTCCCGCGCAAGCAACCAGTATTGTGGAACATGCTGATTCAAGTGCGGGGTTGCGGCCACCGAGTTCCCACCAAAGATCAAAGTGCACTGCTCAATGTAAGGTAATGAACATTCATCTTCTTATGAACTTGCCTACCATGACCAGCAATGAATGCTCTTCTTGTGGCTCATTCGAGGTGTGGATTTGTCTTCAGTTTGTGTTTTGAACCCTATATTTAACAGTCACGAGTCACGAGTCACGTTTCTGTCTCAAAATGATGTTACCAAGCAAGTTTCAAGCCAAACAATGATGATGAACACCTGTTTTTTAATACATTGTTTAGGCTTTCCCCACGATTTTCCCATGGTTTTCCCACCATTTCCTTACAAACATCAGCTGCGAGGATGGCTGCATGGGTCATGCTGTCCTGAAAGTCTGGCAGAGCTACGTGCAGCAGCAGGCTTGGTCGGAAATGGAGTTCACCAGGTTATGTATTGTAAATAGTATAGTAACACCATATCACCATCAATATTCATGAATATCTTATATATTGATCATACTAACTAATGTTACATCGACAATAGTAAAGGGGGGTCCCCCCCGTTGGTATAATGCGATTGTGGTCCTTGAAGATATATTGCAAACAAAATGAAACGCCCTATGCCTTGATCATTCCAACACAACAAAGATTTACAGCACACCTGTTGTATAAAACAAGATTGAGCAAGAACTTGTGAAGGCAGGCTGCAATCTCAACTAAGTGTTTTGGGCTACCTGTATGGGTTTCTTACTCCTGTGAAAGGGTTGCATGATTTTGCTTCCACCATTCCTGGGCGTTGCTTTTCTCCCAGTACACTCTCCTAGGATGCTGTGGGTGATCGGGCCGCGTGATTCTACAGTTGTCTCCCACTTGCGTCTCACTGTCTCCACGTAACAAGTACGCTATGGATGCTCTGGGCTGCATGGTTCCATGCTTTTCTCCCCCACTTCTACCACTTCTCTCCACCTGTTTCGCAGTGTGCTGTGGGTGCTTTGAGCCGCATGAACCTGCACTTCTCTCGCATATACGCTCAAGGTGGTCGGGGCCACCTGAATCTAAACTTGTTTCCCTTGTCTCCCACTTGTCCCCCACTGTCTCTAAGTACGCCGTGGGTGCTCTGGGCCACATAATTCTGCACTTGTATCGCACTTGTCTGTGGATGCTTTGGGCCGCATGGTTCTGCGTTTGTACCCCGCTTGTCTCCCACTTGTTTCTGACTCTGCGGGTGCTCCGGGCCACATGTGATTCTGCACTTGTCTCCCCCTTTTCTATCCTTTTCTCCCACACTTGTCGCCAGGTTGCCCACCGCTTGACTCCCACTGTCTCGAAGTACGCTGTGGGTGCTCTGGGCCGCATGAGTCTACACTTGTCTCCCGTGCAGTGGGTGCTTTGAGCAACCTGCACCTGTCTCCTAGTTGTCTCCCTCTCCCGGGCTCTGCGTTGGATCAACTCTCTCCAAGTTGGGTGCCTGGTTCTCCGCTTTCGAAGAAAGGTGTGGATGCTTTGGACCTCCTGATTCTAGACTTATCTCCCACTTGTCTCCCAGTGTGCTGTAGGTGCCCTGGGCCGGAATGACTCGCACTACGAGTGCTTTGGGCCCCATGATTCTGCAGTTGCCTCCCACTTGTCTCCCAGTATGCTGTGGATGCTCTGAGCTGCATGGTTCTACACTTGTCACCCACTTGTCCCCCGCTTGTCTCCGACTGTCTTGCCGTATGCTTTGGGTTCTCTGGGCCGCCTGATTCTACACTTGTTTCCCGCTTGTTTCCCACTGTTTCCCAGCATGCTGTGGGCGCTCTGCGCAACATGTCTCTACACTTGGTGACGGGCCAAAAAATTAAGCGCTACAAAGCAGAGTTTATATACATATATATATATATATATATATATATTATATTTGTGTTTAGCGTGAGCATTATCCATCTAATTATTGGGGTGCCCGATTTTGACCTATACGCGCTTGTCTCCTGTTTGTCTTTGACTGTCGCCAAGTACAGTGTTGGTGCTCTCTGGTCTGCATGACTAACGCTTCCGCTCGTCCCCCACGGTTTCCAAGTGTGCTGTATGATCTTGGCCGCTGGGCTTGCACTTTCCAGATGTCTTGTCTATGCTCTGGGCCTCTGGGCCGCGTGGCTCCACACTTGCCTACCCTTTGTCTTGCAGATCCGGCTGATTCCAGACTTGCCTGCCTGTCTCCAACTTGGCTCCCAGCTGTTTCCCATCTGCAGATGCTCTCTGGATGCTTTGGGCTGCACTTGCTTCCCACTTGTCTACCAACATCTCCCAGTATGCTGTGGATGCTTTGAGCTGCATGGTTCTACACTTGCCCCCCACTTGTCTCCAACTGGGCCCCCCTGTGTCTGCAAGAGTATTGTGGGTGTTTTGGGCCGCACAATTAATTCTACACTTATGTCCCCCTTGTCTCCCACTTGTCTCCGACTGTCTCCCAGTATGCAGTGGGTGCTCTGCACTTTTCCCGGACTGTCTCCACGGATACTTTGGATGTTCTGTGCCGCATGAACCTACGCTTGTCTCCCCCTTGTCTCTCCTACTGTCTCCAAATAAGTTGTGGGTGCTCTGGGCTGCAGGAAGCTACACTTGTTTCCCTCTTGTCTTCTACTGTCTCACAGTACGCTGTAGTGTGGGTGCTTTAGGCTACTTTGTATTTTCGTTTGTTTCCTGCTTGTCTCCCAGTATGCCATGCTGCGCGATTTCAGAAGCAGTTTATTGTCGGGTTCGTTGGTGCATCATTGGGGTGGTAGGAGCGTCCAGGAGCGTGCCTTCCACTTGTTTCCACGCGTTTCCCATTTGCTTCCCGAGTTTGTTCCTGTGATTTTGTTCTTTGGGACCGCAGACTTTACTTTGCTACTACTTGTCTCCCACTTGTCTACCGCTTCTTTTTCCTGTCTGCGGAGGACTTGGGACCCGAATATTTCCTTTACTGTATCTCCTACTTGTCTCTCATTTGTCGTTTGCTTCTCTCTCTGTGCTCCAAGTGGAAAACATGATTTGTCTACCGCTGAACCCCACCTTTCTCCCACTTCCGTCTCTGTGCTGCGGCCTTTGGTCTCCTGTTTGCCTTCCAATTTCTTTGATTATTTCCTTTCTTACATGTATATGGTCTCATGGCAGGCACCAATTCGGCGCCTGATGTTTCCTTCTTCTGTTTGGGCCCAGCGCTGTATAACTTTTGTTACTTGTTACTTGTTGCTGGCGGGATGGAATGTATGGTTCCGAGCAGCTTTTGTGGTTGCATTTCTCCCTTGCTTTGTCTCCTACTTCTGATTTATGCCCTTCCATCTTTTATCATTTCCTTAAACTTGTATCCTTACGTAGTTGCACCCCATCAACACCCCATCTTTGCAACATGGGCGGAAAGGATGGTCGTGATTTCTTGCAATGCAACGCCGATTGACTTCTACGTTGCCTCTTTAGAACGCCCGAGAAAGAATTTCTTGGTAAGGAGCCTTTCCCTTAACATTTCATCTCCAGCGTGTGTTTGGCTGCTAGGTGGAAGCGTCGCCTGTTCAGGGGAGGTCGGGCAAGGTCCTGTTAACTAGTGTCCTGCCTTTTGCATTATCTGTGGCGCTAAAGCGATCTGAATTGAACATCCCCAGGCTCCGGTCTAGCCTGATGACAGGTGGAAATCAGGACGGTTCAGGCGTTACAACCATGTGGTCAAATGGCTTTCCAAGAAAAAATGTCTTACTTTGATTTTGGGATCTCTCTATCGGAAACGAAGGCTAGCACAGTCAAATCTAGGGATAAACCATGATAAGAAGAGAGAAACCATGTGTTCAGTCAGAAGAGACACTGCCTGAATTTGACCACATGGATGCGGGTGCGACAGTATCAATGAGCCTTGAGAAACGCCAAGGAATGCCATGGGCACCCTGTTTTCTTTGGGGCAACCCATACCTTCCGCCAAACTGCACAAATCTGATCCTTGCAGTTGGCCTCTGGGCAATGTCACAAAAGCGAACTATGTCGCATACTCATGTCAGCTCAAGCATTACTTTGGCAAAGGGTGCAGTGTTTTAATGTCTCAGCCTGTCTCTCTTCCCTCTTTCTGCAGATGTTTGTTTCACGCGCACCCAGGACCCACAATACAGAAACATGGGCGAAAAAAAGTTTTCGTAGATTCGTAGCACTGAAGTCGCTTTATATGTACTTGTTCATGGTGATGAGGAAGATGTTGCGCTTGTACATTTTTGGTGCCTTACTGCAGAAGGCTAGCGGCTAGCTCAAAGCAGTCATGCAGAAGAAATGTAACCACGAACAAAGTGTTTGCATCCATAATTTGATCATAGTTGATCCATAGTTTGATTTTTGCTTGTTGTTTGACGTTTTTCCACACCTGCCAGTGAGGGTCTCCAGATTTTAACAAAGGTACAACTCCTCCTCCTCCTTCTCCTCATCTCCGCCCTTGCTGTGCCTTGTGACCCGAACCTCACCGCCAGCCCCGGAGGCTGCGGAGCACGCCTGGACCCGAACCCCATGTCGCGAGCTCCGAAGGCTAGCACGCCTGGACCCGAACACCGTATTGCAAGGTCCGGATGCTGTGGGCACGCCTGGGCCCGAACTCCATACCGCCAGCTCCGGACCCTGTGGACGAGCACGACTGGACCCGAACACATGTGAGATAGAATGCCAGAAAGATTGCCAGATAGAATGCCAAAACATATGTCAGACAGAATGCCAGAAAGAATGTCAGATAGACTGTCAGAATATATGTCAGGTATTCCAGGTAGAATGTCAGAATATATGTCAGGTAAAATGCAAGGTAGAATGTCAGCATAGATGCCAGAGATAATGCCAAAATGAATGCCTTAAAAAATGCAGGAAAGAATGCCAGAATATATGCCAAAAGTATGTCAGCATGGATGCCAGGTAGATAGAGTGCCGGATAGACTGTCAGAAAAAATGCCAGATAGATTGCCAGGTAGAATGTGAGATAGAATGTCAGAATATATGTCAGATAGAATGCCAGGTAGAATGTCAGATTAGATGTCAGGTAGAATGCCAGATAGAATGTCAGATAGAATGTGACATAGAATGCCAGATAGAATGTCAAACAGAACGTTAGAATATATGTCAGGTAGAGTGCCAGAAGGAAAGTCAGAATAATATGTCAGGGTGGGGATCACTCGAAGTAAAGTAATTCTTATTATCGTTTGTTTTTGCTGGGGTGGTACGTCTGGCCCTTTAGGGAAGGCTTCTCTCAGTTACCTTCTTCCCCTTTCCGTGTTCGTGCAGTGCATCTACTACAGTTGTCTTTTGTTGCAGGTGTGGAAGGGTTGGCCCCATAAGTTCATTGAAATAAGATGCCTTCTCTCATAGCAGCTGAAGTGGAAGGGCTGGCCCGGCTATCCTCTCCAATCTTCCGTTTTACATTTCATCTCTTGCATCTGTTTGTTGTTGCTGGGTGGAAGGGCCGCCTCTTCAGGGGAGGTTGTGCAAGGTCCTCTCAACCATCGTTTTGGCATTTGCATTCCTATGCCTTGAGTTGTTTATGCTTGCGGAGGCCCGTCATGTGCTTCCCGCTCCTGGGTCTCCTGTAATTCTTACAGCAATGACTCTTGCAATGTCTTGTGCCGACTTGTTGTTTGTGAAGTGGAGGGGCCTTCTATCCATTGCCCATCCTCCCCTTTTCAAGTTTATTTCATGTCTTGTTCCAATTGTTGCTGCTGCGTCGGGTGGGTTGGCTCTTCTCGGGAAGTTGGGCCATGTTCTCTCAACGATTGCCTTGGCATTTGCATCGGTTTTATTTTAGTTGTTTGTGCTTGCTAGCTGCTAGGGTTTGTCAAGGAGAAAAACGGTCAAATATGTTCCCTTCCTTTGCCTTTCTTTGATTATCTCCTGTTTTAGGGTGGAAGGGCTGGCTCTTCAGGAAGGGTTGGGCTGGGGTGGAAGGGCCGTCCCACCAAGCAGAAGGAGGAACATGTCCTTTGGAAATAACCTTCTCTCTTTTGCTCCTCTCCTCCTGGCGTTAAAAATTAAATATTAAAATAGTGTTATACATTTCTGGTGCTCACTCAAATTGTCCACAAATTGGATAATCACATAGACCCAATTATTCTCTCGTACGGTCCCCCCCCTTTTTTTTAGAGGGGGGTCTGCTTTGCAATAGTAAATCGAAAATCCCAGCTCTTCCCCAAAGGCTTCTGTAAGGTTTTGACAAATCCTCTCTTTTCTGATGGGCTCTGATGGGATCTTCACTGGATTCTGATAGGAAGAATGGAAAAAAATGCCTGCTAGAGCCAGGAAGGTTGTTTCTTATTGCAAGTGCTAATTCCAGTTTTTAATTGCAAATGCAAGGACTTGCAAGGGGGTACCCTTTGTGGACCTGTTTTTTGCAATTTGTTTAAAGGATTTTAATAAAGAAAACAGTCTTTTTTGAACAAGATAAAGTTTTTGATTTGGTAAAGGTCTGCTTTGTTTTTGCTTTTGAAAAACATGCAATCACAATTAAAAACCATTCAACCACAATTAAAAACACTAAGGAAGAAGGGAAAAAATGCCTGCTAGAGCCAGGAAGGTTGTTTCTTATTGCAAGTGCTAATTCCAGTTTTTAATTGCAAATGCAAGGACCTGCAAGGGGTACCCTTTGTGGACCTGTTTTTTGCAATTTGTTTAAAGGATTTTAATAAAGAAAACAACTTTTTTGAACAAGATAAAGTTTTTGATTTGGTAAAGGTCTGCTTTGTTTTTGCTTTTGAAAAACATGCAATCACAATTAAAAACCATTCAACCACAATTAAAAACACTAAGGAAGAAGGGAAAAAAAATCCTGCTAGAGCCAGGAAGGTTGTTTCTTATTGCAAGTGCTAATTCCAGTTTTTAATTGCAAATGCAAGGACCTGCAAGGGGGTACCCTTTGTGGACCTGGTTTTTGCAATTTGTTTAAAGGATTTTAATAAAGAAAACAGTTTTTTTGAACAAGGTAAAGTTTTTGATTTGGTAAAGGTCTGCTTTGTTTTTGCTTTTGAGAAACATGCAATCACAATTAAAAACCATTCAACCACAATTCAAAACACTAAGGAAGAAGGGAAAAAATACAGCTGAACTGTAACTGGTTCTGATTTTTTTCCTGCATCCAGACCAAATCTCAATTAGTTCCTTTACAATTTAGTATTGGAAAATCTGATAATTTGGGAATTTTCTGAAAATTATTTGTAGCTATTGCGAATGAACCACATTTATTGCAGATGCTCTGGACCAAGGTTGATGTTTGTAATTTAAAATCAGTAAGGCCTAATTTAAAATCAATAGGGGCTGAAAAATCAGATTCTGAAAATTATTTGTAGCTATTGCACGCGCTTTACTATTGTCCATCCAACATTATTGGTATCTATTGGTTATGTATTGTTTTCACTATTGATTTTGATGAGCATATAATCATATAATATAGTTAATGGTGATTTTAGGGCTATTTCATGGGGATATAATGGGATATATATATATATATATGTACATATATATATACATATTAATTTGTGTTAGTATTTAGTAAAACTGGATATCTAACATATCAAGATTAGTACATGTCCAATATTGATGATACTAAAAATGTTGGGAATTCATTGTTTTAAGTCTAGCGCAAAGGGATTTCAACTACCAAAATTGATGGATTCCATCAACTGACTGGGAATATTGATGATATTATCAGATTACTCCAGAGAAGTAGGGAGTTGTTGTTGTTTTTTGTATCAACGTAATATCTCATGTCTATTGACTAAGCCATATATTCATGATAGAGATATTACAATAATAATGTCACATGTTACACTATCTTCAATCAATATCTCATGTTCGACACTATCTGATTAAGCAATCTATTGTTGAATATATTGTATTTGATCATTATATTAGGCCTGGACTGCCACTGTGGTTACTATCACAAGCAACATATCATAGACTGTTGATAATGTTACTCCGAATATCATGGTAAGATAGTAGTATCATCATCTAGATTGTAACTTTGATTCTGCCACATCGTTTGTTTTGATATTGTTGACATCATGATGATCTACGGTGTTGACAGATATTGTTACATCATGTTATAGCGCATTATAACAAATATTTTTGCTACCACTATCATCATCTATTGTCGTAGTGTATTGATTATTACGTTGGCGTAGTTTTCTACTATTGTTTTTGTATAATTTTATCATCATCCTTATCACTATCACAGTTTGCTGGTGGTTTACTTGATTATTCATTGGTGTGCTTTCATTGTATGATCACTGAAATTATATGTGTGATTATTGTTGTTATTACTATTGATTATGATACTGCTGATTATTGTTAAACACTTATCTTTAGCGAGCTGTTATGATGATGCTCGCTACTATTTTCCAATGTTTGGTGCAAGAACATGAACATGTTCTAGCTGACTTGTCCAGGATATGTTTTGACTTCAACGCCTTGTGAGTTTGACTTGTGCGGAGAACATGGAAAGCTCACATCGTGACTACTGTCGGCAGGGGCCAGTCCAGTCCCATGGTGTTGATTGTTCATTGATCGGGGATCTACTGATTGCTGGTTGACAATGGTACCTGTGGCGTTCTATGGGTTAAATCACTTACTGTAAGTCCCCCCTTTTCACAGGTTCATTCCAGATTTCTGTCGCTGAATACCCATTTGGCACATCCCAATCTTTGAATTTAGCAGCTGATATCACCATATTTTCCCATGATTATCCCATCACTATCCCTAGACGAACCAACTCATGTAAGGTGAAGGATCGCCAGCGGCTAGTGGAAGGCGATGGGAGATCAACCGTTTTTTGTTTGGTGATATGTTGGTTGGTGAAAGATAAGTTCATGTACTATATTCGTGAGCGTGTTGGTGAACGATTTCCGGTGATTTGTCAATATATTTCTTGTATCCCCCAAATATCTTAAATTGGCATATGCGCTGAAGGTTGGAGAAAGCATGAGAAAACTTACCATATATATCATCGTGTGTTGTTTTTTGTCATGTCGATGGATGTTTTTTTGTTGCTGGACGTACAACAAGAATAGTCTCGGTGAGATGCTCGGTGATTTGGCATACGGATGCACATCTCAAGATTGGTTGGTCATCATCTGTAAACATCTGTAACATATTATTGAATTATTTCTCATACGCCCCACATTGTTTAGCAACACTGCATTGTTGTACCCTCTGGTAATTTAACATAGCTATTGAAAATGGCCATTAATAGTGGATTTTCCCATTGAAATGGTGATTTTCCATAGTTTTTTGTATGTTTACCAGAGGGTAAACCATATCAATCCAAACACAGATTCAATCCATCGACATGAAACCATCCAGGCCAGGTTACCAGGTTGTCCATAATGAACCCAAGATTGTCATCCGTTTCCCCAAGACTACCCAGAAAACGGGTAGGGTTACATTGTCACATTGTATATGTTGATTCATAGATGTGTATATATATATATACACAGATCTCATCATCTCCAATGCTTGTATCGTAATCTATGATGTGTTCAATACATACAATCTATAATATATATATATTATATTGTTAGTTCATAGTAAATTATAGAATCATCATAGCTTCCGAGTTCACTATCTGCTGGTTTATTACAGTTCTCCAAACTGATATTTTATTATCAACTATTAAGTGCCATCAATTCTTCAATGATCACTGTATATCATATTATATCAGTATATGAAAATAGAAAATCACATGATACAGTCGTGGAATCCATTTGGCCATATATAATGATACAAAAGCACTATACTATATGGACTATAGTTATACTATAGTATAGTCCATGATTTTCCCATAATTATTGACACAAAATGGAACCAAAATATGAGTATTATAACCATGATAACCATAATATGGACACAAAATGGAACCCATGATTTTCCCTATGTTTTTCCCAACTTTGTCAACTCCTCCGCCCAAAAATCTTCTCGAGACCTGACGCCTTCCGCGCTCTGCGGCCTTCGCGGCGTGTGCGCCCGGCGCACCGTGCTGTCGCAGCTGGCAGCGCTACGCGCCTGGGCTGCGGTGGTGGTGCTAAGGCGTCATGAGGCGTGGGGTATGCCGGGCATGCCGAGCATGGCGTGGGTGTACAAAAGTTGAATGGTTATCCTGGTTATCCTCATAGTTGAATAGTTAATCTCAGTTAACCTCTATATTTTTTATAGTTTATGGTGGGTTAACCACAATGGTCATTTGAAAACTATTCAACTATGAAGGTAACTATGGTTATTCAACGAGTGAATTAGACATTGAGCCTATAAGAAGAGGCTTATTGTATAGTCGTTGACCATAGGGTCAAGATCCTTGGTATAGTTAACCATAGTGGTATTTAATTATTAATGATAATATTATTAGAGGTTAACTATATCAAGGAGTCTATATAGCGTAAGCCTAATATTTAGACTATACACACTAATCTTAGACTGTACATAATATATATATATATATATATTGGGAGTTCACTATGTTAATATAGGTGTAATCCCCAGATAGACTATCATTAGATGTGTAACTAACATTGGGGTTTACTATGTTTATTAGATTATTACTCATGATATGTCAATAGGCTATCTTAGATTATCATGTTCACTAATATAGTGTAACCTCCAAAAAAGATAGAACTGTGGAAAACCCGACATTTCATATACAATTTAATACTGTCATTCCATTGTTAGCATTAAATATAGTAATGCTTATAGTAAGATGATAGTTAGCATAAGTCGATTTCATAGTTTTATACCTGTGGGGCATAGTGAAAAGCCTGACGAGAATAACTGTTATTACATTTGAGTTTGTGAGTTTTACTGGAAGTATTGTAACATGATAGTAATTACATTATTCGTAGAAGGGTATGGTTTGTGGAATGATTATTTTAATTGATACGAGTTATGGTGATTAGGTTTATCAGTATGGCGAGCGGTTCTATACTATTATAATATATTATGAGTGCTTTCTATACATAATCACAATTCACATACATTTAATATTATATACTAATATATACCCTCTGCTAAATTAACATAGACCCTGAAAACAATCAATTTCTATTTGAATCTAGTCTTCCAACCCCCATCTGCCAGGGTCTATGTTAATTTACTGGAGGGTGCATATATATTATGCAAGGAGGTGTGAGGGGGGAAAACAGTTCTTGGGATAAATCATCCGCCATTTTGGGATGGTTGGTGGATTGCTCAGCATAGTTTTCCAGAGAAACCCATGGTATTTTGAGATAAACCTATGTGGGATAACTTGTTTGGCTGGTTCTGTGCCCCGTTCATTGCTATTCTATTCTTAGCAAAACAAAAACCTTGACTACCATAGGCCCTGCCAAATAGGGTTGGAAGATTATTGCCTTTTTGGCATGGGTTGTTTTTTCGGATCTATGTTAGAAGGCGGCATGGGATATTATGATTATAGATGATGTAGATATTCCCCTTGAAAATGGGCCGTAGCGGCATCATTTATTTGTGATATTTACAAGGAATTATGCCTGGCAGGATCTAGGTGGGATATAGGTATGCATGTGGATGAATAATGACAAAGTGGTTGTATGGTACGGATAGGTATTGGCATTAATCATGATTTCTTGGGACATCAGCCCAATATGGGTATTAAAATAGGTATGGATAGGGATACAGGTATGAAAGAACCATCATAACCCAAAAGATCATGCGATGTTGCAAAGTATGTGAAAAGAATAGTCTGTTTGTCACGTTTTATCACATTGTTTCCCAGATCATGAACATAGTGAACATAGTCCTCAAAATTCCATCCGCCTAATATTAAACACCCAAAAAAAATGACTCCAAAGATGTGTACATCGCCTACTAGGAGGATCGGAGTAGTTTTGCTGCTGAAAAAAATCATTCTGCACAGGTAATTATTAGCTCTGTCCAAATTGAGAACATTGCCAGTATCGCTGCACTCTACAATCTGCACATCCATGGAGACCAATGATGCAGCAGATTTATAGGGTAAACTGCATTGGGTGATGCCCCAATGCAGGTTGAGTTGAAAGCTCAAGAGGAGAAGGTGCTGCGGCTAGTGTGGAGTGTGAGCTTTTTTTTTCAAAGGTATGAGGTACATATGGGGGGTTCCATAAATGGAAAGACCCCAAGATGGATGGTTTATAGTGGAAAATCCTAAAATGAATGATTTGGAGGCGACCCTAGTTTAGGAAACCACCATATAGAGTATGTAAATGGGTGTTTATCTTTATATGTATACATGTAAAACCACATTGGGTATGTTTCAAAAGCAATGTATGGAACATTAAACCATGGATCCAAAGCACTGTCCTTAGTTCTGGAGTGTGCTTCTATATTTTTTTCACATGGTCGTGCTTTTTTTATCGGTCCGCTTTATGTGAGGTATACTTGCATTCCGGTGACCATATATATATATATACATATACATATACATACAGACGTTTATGTATATATTTCGAGAAGTTATATCAGTATCTCTATCACATTTTAGGGTTTGTCTACCTCATCTTCTGTTTCTATTTGTTCTGCCTCTGATGTGTCCAGTTTGATACAGGCATATACTACTATAAATAGTGTTACTATTACAAGCACAAGTAGTAGTAGAAGTCGTAGTAGTGGTAGTGGTAGAAGTAGTAGTGGTAGTGGTAGTAGTAGGAATAGAATAGTAGTAGAAGAAGCAGGAGCAGTAGCAGTAGTAGCAGTAGTAGCAGTAGTAGCAGTAGTAGCAGTAGTAGCAGTAGTGGCAGTAGTGGCAGTAGTGGCAGTAGTGGCAGTACTGGCAGTAGTGGCAGTAGCAGTAGTAGCAGTAGCAGCAGTAGCAGCAGTAGTAGCAGTAGGAGCAGTAGTAGCAGTAGGGGCAGTAGGTGGCAGTAGTGGCAGTAGTGGCAGTAGTGGCAGTGGCAGTAGCAGTAGTAGTAGTAGTAGCAGCAGCAGTAGTAGTAGCAGTAGCAGTAGCAGTAGCAGTAGCAGTAGCAGTAGTAGCAGCAGTAGTAGCATTTCTTGCAAGACAATGATAGTTTATGTCCATACTACGTAAGACGAACATAGCATCAGCACCTTTTTTTACGTCTCATTGTTACCATTAGTTTTTAACTGTATATTATCGATATAGGTACTGACTTTTTTTTACATTTGCAATGATCATATACCATTACTAAGATGTTATATTGTATGATTACTGAGATATTATTTTGTTTAAAAAAAAACATGTTTCATTGTTACATTATATTACATTATTACTAAGACGAACTCTTGTTACTATTACTAAGATGTTTTGTTACTACTGATATAGATAGCAATATTATTAGTACTACAGCCATATTAGAAATTCAGAAAGATCCTGTAGTATTATCAGTATTATCAGTGTTACCCTCTGGTTATTTAATATAGCCATGGAAAAGTGCCCATTTATAGATGGTTTACCTATTAAAAATGGTGGATCTGTCCATGGCTATGTTAAATAACCAGAGGGTATACTATGTCTCTATATCAGTGCAATTTTCGCTACACCTCTCCGCTGGCGTAGGCCTCGCTCCGAAGCACCTCGGCCCTGGCCGTGCTGCGGAACGAGCTTCGGGCCGTGCGATGGCAGGGGCACCGTGCCTTGACGAAGATGGCCATGTTTGTTGGACAATTTCTTGGGGAACCTCTTCATCCCATCTACCATTTGGTTATGACTAACATAGCCATGGAAAGATCCACCATTTTCAATAGGTAAACCATCTATTTCTATGGGACATTTTCCATGGCGATGTTAAATAACCAGAGGGTAATTAGACAATCATGGGAATATCATAAGGGAAAATACTGATCTGATAGAGAGATTGTTGGTTGAACATGGTGGATATTGGTGTGATTGAAGCATAAAAGATGCTGGTTTTATGGGATATGAAAATAAGATGAGGCAAACTATATTAATTAGTGGGTACCATTGCACTTTCCTTGTTTTTCTGGGGTGAAATAGTTGCATCCCGTTCTTTTCTGAAAAAAAAATGGTGTGAGTGTTTTTGCGACTTACTACCGATCGCCATGCAGTCTTAGTTTTTTTGGCGCTGAGAAACGTTAGTGGGGGCAAGTGCCAACAAGCAAGAATTGGCGATGAGATCAACACATGTGCAAGCAACACTTAAATCCGAGTAATCAGAACATGTGAGGGACCTTGGGTATCAACCAGGAACGTCATAAGTTTTATTGCCCAACTTGGGCGAATTAGTTCCTCAAGTAATCTCAAGTATCAATAGCTCACCAACCAACACACAGGCGTATGTATAATTAATCAAATAACATGGATATATGACCAACAGAGGCCTTGGAATCAGTCCTACAGTCTTCTGTAGGACAGCCAGCAGTTCAAACGAATGGTTCTCGGTATCAATCGCTAGCCAGCAGTGACGATACGTCGATCCTGATTGCCTTTGGAAAATTACTGTCCTCTAAAAGTTAACGATTTTCAGGGTCTAATTTAGTAATGATTTGGATTTGTCAGAGAATACGGCACCGGCAAATGATCATGTTCCCATATTTTCCCCAACATAGCCATTTGGAGGGTCCCTTAAATTCTAAGACACACCCATCTTAAGGTATTTGCAAGAAACCATTTTGCGGCATGCGAAGGTTGGGATTTCGCATTGTCCAAATCCTCAGGTGCAGCTTTTCGACTTGCACAGCAGCGGGCCCTTCTGGCACAGTTGGCGCCCTTCAATGCATGGCGACAGCTGAGTCAAGAGGCTCACTGGAGTTGAGTTGATTTGTTCGTCATATCCGCTTTTTTGTTTCAGAATCGCAATCTTTGGGATGGCTAATCCTCCAAAGTTGTGCTGCTCACTGCGAATTCCACGGTTTTTGGATGTTTTTGGTGATTAGATCACATGTTCCTTTGTTCGATTGGTTGTGCCCCAATTTTCTGTTGATTGAATTGATCAAGGATCGCCAAAAAAAAGAACCTTTGGGACATCACAGGATATCTTTTGTGACTAGGTAGACAAATATCGTAACGGCACAGAGATTGGCACAAATTTATTTATGGGCCACGATGGCCAAGAATAGTGTGGGTTCCATGACGGCACCAATATTTTGTTTTGATACAAGTACGTATGCATAGACTATGCCGGGCTATGCCGTTTTAAGTTTGGACCAATGATTGTAGCAGGGGACTCTGTCCATTCATTTTGAAGTCATGCAAGTGGGAATGAGAGAGATATATTCAGTAGACAAGAGTTCTTAAGGGTACGAGTGTAATCGAAAATATTGTTCCTCAATTTCCTTAGGAAACCACAAGGAATTCATTTCGCTACAATATCGACTTGAAGGATTTTCTTTTGGCAAGTCTCAAACATCGCCCTGTGCAGTTTTTTGTTGCTTTGGGGATCTTGCAGGTTGACTCCATGTTCTTTTCGTTAAGAACACTTCTATAGGTGTAACCTATTTTCCAAAGAAATTCATGTTGATCCCCTCCATCCAGGCACGCCATGCAGCCAGACTTCGCTGTGAATTGGAGTCTGCCATGGTCTCAATGGAGAAATGGGATGAGTTGGGCGGATTTGGGATGTGGAAGTTCATGAACTTCCAGAATCGGCTGACAAAATTGCTTGGGATTTAGGCAAAAGAGATAGATATTATATATATATATAACTATTAGGTATCCAACTATCTAACTGTCTAACTATTAGGCATCCAACATAAGATATATTTGATATCTTAGTATATTATCAACATCCAACATCCGTAGCCAGCAGTGAAATGGGTTTCCCAGCAAGATAGGAAGAGATGACAGAACATACGTTTCCGTGTAATTTTCCAACGACCTGTGTGGCAATCTCATCACAAAAATCACCAGGTGAACCTCAACACGGTTTCGGCCTTGGGCTCCGCACGAGCTGAAGTCAAGGCGGGAAGATCAGTCCACGGATCAAGGGATTGGTTGGAGGAGGAAATCTAGAGGAACACATAAGGGAAACCCATGTCTTGTTACCATCAACCATGGTTTTCTTAGCAGATTATGCAAAGAAGACTTGGAATGGAGCCTTTTTGACTGGGTGATGTTCTGATATTGGAACCATTGCGTGAAATTGCTGCGTCTATAGCAAGCTTATTCAAGCTCAAGGGACCATCCATCTGGATCCATGTTTAGTGATGTGTTGGGTCATGAATTGTTGCTGGCCAAACCAATAGCGCTGCGAAACAAACCTTCAAATCTATGTCAATGACGGACACTTTTCACACTTGACATCACCCCATAACCAGAAGCTCCTCCCAGCTGTGACGATCAGCCATGATTCGGCGCGATGCGGGAATTCCTGAAGTCTACAGGGGCCTCATCGTCGGCAAAGGTGGCCACAAGTTGCAGAAGTTCCAGGCTGAATTCGATGTAACGATCCAAGTTCCAGGTGACCAAAAGGAGGGCGAGGTGATGGTGGAGGGCGGAGAGGCAAAAGTTGAAGCATGCATTGAGAAGATGCGTTCAGTCATTGAGCACCACTCTCGCGGTGTGCAGAGGATGCATTCAAAGAGCAAGGGCAAGGGCAGCGAGGGCGGCGCGGGCGGCGCGGGCCGGAAAAGTGAGGCAACGTCCCAGGCAGCTCGAGCAACCTGTTTGCTTTGCAACGCCGAAGTGGCGGGTCTTGTTACGGCTGTGGAGCACTTGCAGGGCCAGAAACATCGTATGAAGCTTCTGAAGCAAAGGCCTGACTTTGCCGAGATTTTCCAGCGTCAGCGTTTTGATTTGGCAGACCTGGAAGAAATGCTCTTAGAGCCTGAGATGGCAGAGTTCCATCGGGAGCTGAACTTCAAAGTGGATGAAATTCTGTCCGCCATCCCTGAGATGCAGCTACGGGCAGAAAAGATGGAAGAGGTCAATGCTGAGATTGCCATCTTCAGCGAAGATCCCAAGTGGTTGGAGATCAAGTCCAGAGTCGTAGTCCACTGGGATGACAGGCTGACAGGTTGTAAAATTCAGAGGCTGACCAGAGCTCCAGACCTTGGAGAAATGCTGACCCGCTGCAGCTTCAAAGAGCCTCCCAAGGCCAAGATCCCAGCATTGCCGGCACCACTGCCACAGGTAAAGGATGTGTCAAGGTCGAGGAACAGCCTCAAGGCAGCTCATAAATATCCTGCAGCGCCAGGGTCTTGCCGTTTGGGCATTGCCATGATGAAAATGCTTGGCATCAATTTCTCAGACTATGACTTTATTTGTGGGACCTCATTCATAAAAGCACTGGCTGGGGATGCCAGCAGAATCACGGATGCCTTCTACATCCAACGCTTCCGTCAGACAGCCTGTGTGCTTCACGTCCCTTCGGATTATCACAGCCAAAACGATGCTGGGCGTGCTGTTGAGATGCTGCTTCGTGGAGACTCACTACCAGGCCAGAGGTGTTCATGGAAGATTCATGGAAGTAAGACTTTACCGTGTACAATCGTGAAGGTATCAGATATATATTATCAGATTGTGTTTGCTTACTGGATCTTGCTCGCCTATACTGTAGTGTTGCATTCTTACTGCATACCACATATGATCCAAACAGTGCAGACATGCAGAACTGTTTACCCAATGGCCTCAGGTTTTTTTGCGGCTGGGACAACTGTGGCCATCGATGGGCACACCTTCTTTGTAGTTAGCGAGGCCGGTCTCCTCCATGGTGCAAGGTGAAGCTGACGTTGTAGCAATGTCGCTATATCATGCAGCACACCCGCAGTTGATGTCATCGTATCAGAATATCTTCAGACACGATTCATGTCTTAAAATCACATCGTATCAGAATCATATCACATCTTCATCTTAGTTTGGGGATGCTTGGGGTGTTAAATGGTTTTCAGCCACTGTGTTCCGTCCCTCACTGTTTCGGTTTCGGTGCAGGTGGACGCAACGGATTCCAATTCGACTTTGGTGGAGATCAGGAGCTCCAAGACAGATCAGATCGTGAGGACGCCAAGCGAAAATCACTACAATTTTTGCCCCCCCCAGTTATAAGTTGGTTTATAACCCCCATGAATATAGTAGTTGTGAGTTCTAGGTATCATAAACCATAGTTTCACCAACTTGGATATCTAGGGGCCCGACCTTGTAGTAGTTTCATTGCGTTTTCATGTCGGTTTGGGTTCTAAACCTCCACTGCTGGCATTATCACAGCTCAGGCCTCGAGTCGTGCTTCAAACTGCGCTCAATGGCAGTGAGCACATCTTGGGGTGCAAGTTGAATAAGGATGAAACGCAGCTTCTCTCCATCAAGTGGCTCTCAACGGAGCAGATCCAGAGGGATCACCAGGAGAGTTTCACCGCGGCCGGGCAGCATGTCCGATGCATGTTGAGCAAGGTCGTGGATTTTTTGAGGGATCATGATGCGGAGCATGAAGAGCACCTCGTTTGGAAGGTGACGTTCGATGCCCACGGCAAGGTTCCAAACTTTGAGATCGCCACAGGAGTGGAGGATGTGGAGGTACTGCCAGCAGGCCTAGAGTGAGTTTCCGGATTTTTGGCTTCGTTCAGGATACAAAAATGATGGGAGCAGTGGCCAGGGGCTTAGCATTACATGGCAAAGGAGCTAACATCATCATTCTGATCCTGATCCTAATCATTATCATTAACGTCACAACGATAGAAATAATATGATAATGACAATGCTAATAATACATGATAGACCATAATATCATTCGTGAATATCATCCATTGAATATCATGAATATTTAAGATTCCCATTGATATCATTTTCATGAATAATGACACCACTATGTAATCCAATATAATCCAAAATTGATATCGAATATCATTAATAAATATACCAAACTTGACATTGAATATCATAAATTTGATACCACTATTAATTCAATATGAATCATCGCATGTTGCATGTCTATCATCCCCATTTTTCCCGCAGGGCGTTCGACACCTGGCCCGGCGCGCCGCCGAAGTCGCTGCCTGGCGTCGGGGGTCCCCAGAGGGACCTGGGAGTTCACCAACGGGGCAACGGTGAACAAAAATGGTGGTTTAAACATGATTTAACCATGAAAAATGCATAAAAATGGTGGTTTTATACATGTTTATACCATTAAATGTGATATGAATAAGTCTATTGGCCAACATGGACACCATAGCTCGTGAAAGAAAAGAAGAAATAAGTCTCTCTCTCTCTATATATAGATGTACAATGAGATGTTTTTTGGGGATTTTTCTTGGGAGTGATCAAGCGTATGACCAAAACCGGTATTGATTGTAGGGGATTTTATTCCCTGGCATATTAGTGATTATTCAATCATATCTAAGTACAGTGCGTCTAAATAGATTTATATAATATGATTTAATCATGTCTAACTGTCTGACTATAATAGGATGTCTAACCATATCAAATTACAACATGCCGAAATATATTTAATATTACTCTGGGTAAATTTCATCACGACCTCACTGTTCTCCCTCACTGGAAATCATGGTTAGTAAGGGAAATTATCCCGAAATTGCCAGGAAATATTATTTCAGGTTAGTGAACTATCAGAATTTACCCAGATATTGGGATATTATTGGGATATATACTATTGGGATATATACTATTGGGATATATTGGGATATAAGTGTCTACCATTGGGATATATTGGGATATAGGTATTATATGGTATTTATACTATAATTTACCCAGATGAAGCGGTCTGATCCCATCCAGTCCCATCCACGCCAGGAGGGGGCCTTCTCTGTTTGGCCCCGGTCTTCAACGCTTGGAGTCGGCAGGTGGGGGTTCGAAGCTGGTTGGATAATGATGACCGAAGTGATGGATATAGTTGATGTTTCATAGTTGATGTTTATTTTTGTCCGAACCAGGTGATTGATATTGATTGATAGTTTGACCTGCCTGTTCAGGTGAAACATGTCAATAGCTGACTGATGGACATAGTTGATGTTCAATATTCCACCTGATGGATATAGTTCATCATCCAAAATAGCTGATCGAACCGAATGACCTGTTTTTTTTTTATCATGATCCTGAAGTGGTTGATGGATATACTCGTAGTTCATGGATGCTTCTTGGGAGCCAAGATCTGGAAACCTTTCTTTGGAATGGTGAAGTTCGGACCGGCCAATGCTTCACCAGGATCACCAACCGAGTAGCTATGGTCATGATCGTTTTGAACAAGAATGATGAACAGAGCATGGAATTTTTGACTTAATAAGTGATATTCCTGAATATTCCTGACCATATTTAGTGGTCGTAAAACTTAATGATAGTCGAATGATAAAATGTTCCTAATACATCCTAATACTAACAGTGATACTGATAACGAATACCGACAAAGGAGACGATGATTTTATGATTAGCGCTGCAATCACAATCAATCGTACTGAATGAATAAATGTAGTCATCGTCAAAACGATGACCACATCATAATCATGGCAGTGAATGATACGGTCATAATATATACCAATAGGAATAGTTAAATTTTGAAATGCTGATCATACACGCTTGCAATAATACTAGTGATATTTCACAATTGTAGTATCATGGATATTTTACTAATTATAGTCAATGACAGTCACAATAGTAAAAATTATGGTGAGCTCCATTATCATTGGGATTTTCATCCATATTCTCACTACCATCAATGCTAAACAATGATTGATTATACTGATAATATTATTGATATTATTGGAGAATAGATATTGATAATCACTATAGTCATGATAGTAGATAGTGATAATAGCGATCATACCATTCTATTACATTATCCTTTTTTTACCACTATACTGGCATTCATCCATGTATTAATTTTATAACTATTCATGATAACAAAGCAGTATTTGTTCACTTAAACATATAATATATATATACCCTTTGGTAAACTAACATAGCTATGGAAAATCACCATTTGTAATGGGTAAATCAACTATAAATGGCCATGTTCAATAATTTTTTGTATGTTTACCAGGCCGGGTATATGTGATGGATAGCTCAATATGATCATTAGAACGGAGATTTGGTGACCTATTACTATACCACTATTCATCACCATATTAGGAAAAACACAGTTAATATGTTTATATTCACCATATGAATATGTTTATGATACCCTATCAATCTATCAATCTACCAATGGATTCAATGGATTTTCCAAGGATTCAATGGATCTGATCATTTTTTTTATCATCAATATATGTTTTTTCTATTACCACTATATCATGACCATGGATAGAATGATATATCATTACCATTTATCAGCATAACGGTGATGGTTATGATATTTATAATTTATCAATATGGTTAATAACATCTATAGATCATAGATTATTGAGCCATGTAGATATGGATATTCGATATTTATCATTAACAGCTATAGATCATTCACATTTATCAATATAGTTATTGCCATATATTTTTTGGATAGGTATTCAATATCTATATATCAATATATGTGCAATTTATTAACATCTATAGATCATATATAGATCAATACTTATATGGAATATGACAAATACTTATATGCCATATATATATATATATATGATCAATTCCATAAATTCCATAAATGTTAATAAATATATTGTTTATCATTTATTATCAATACTTATCATTCCATATATCCACCATCACCACCCAGCTCCACCAGGTCTGTGGTGTGGCCTCCCGCCGCTTGCGCCCCGGCGAAGTGCTTCTGAACTCCGGACAGGTGCGGTGCCACGGGCGCCACTGGTGCCACGCTGGGATCACCAGTTGGCCAGTGGAAAATCCAGGGATTACCCATGGAAAATCCATGGGTTACCCATGGAAAATCCATGGGTTACCCATGGAAAATCCATGGGTTACACATGGAAAATCCATGGGTAACCCATAGATTTATCAAATTCCAAGTTTTTTTGCCATGTCACATTCACCTTTGGTGGAATTTAAGCGGTTTTCGTGATTCTTTTCTGAAGAAAATGGGCCATGGGGCTTCTTAAATTGGGCCTCCAGATTAGCCCAAAACTGTTTTGCCCCACCTGCCAGATGAGGGTCTCTAAATTTTAACCAAGGTGCAACTCCTTCCCTTCCTTGCTTCCTTGCTTCCTTGCTTCCCTGTGCCAGTTCGTCCGAAATATGATAACTGGCAATATATGTTCCACATGTGACGATTAAAGGACCGGATAACCCCACAAGTCAACTTCTTCCAATAATAAGCATGAAAGGTTGTAGCAGGGACGGGGAAAGAAGGTTAGGGGAAAGGAGGCGGTGAAGGATCGAGAAGTTAAAACAGTTGTGAGTGACAAAGTGGAATGTGAAAGATGGTGTGTGTGTGTGACACAGCAGTGTGTGAAAGATGGCGTGTGTGAAAGTTGTGTGTGAAAGAGAGTGTGTGACAAAGTTGTGTGTGAAAGATGGTGTGTGACAAAGTGGTGTGTGAAAGATGGTGTGGCGAAAGATGGTCGGTGTGTGACAAAGTTGTGTGTGAAGGATGGTGTGGTGAAAGATGGTGTGTGACAAAGTGGTGTGTGAAGGATGGTGTGCTGAAAGATGGTGTGGGTGAAAGTCCTGTGTGAAAGAGAGCATGTGACAAAGTTGTGTGTGAAAGACGGTGTGTGGCAAAGTGCTGTGTGAAAGATGGTGTGTCAAAGATGGTGTGTGTGACAAAGTTGTGTGTGAAAAATGGGGTGGTGAAAGATGGTGTGTGGAAGATGGTGTGGTGAAAGATGGTGTGACAAAGTGGTGTGTGACAAAGCGGTGTGTGAAACTTGGTGTGTCAAAGATGCTGTTTGACAAAGTTGGGTGTAAAAGATGGTGTGTGAAAGATGGTGTGTTACAAAGATGGTGTGTAAAAGAGGGTGTGTCAAAGATGGTGGGTGACAATGTGGTGTGTAAAAGAGGGTGTGTCAAAGATGGTGGGTGACAATGTGGTGTGTGAAAGATGGTGCGTGAAAGATGGTGGGTGACAAAGTTGGGTGTGAAAGAGGGTGTGCGAAAGATGGTGTGTGACAAAGTGGTGTGTGAAAGAGGGTGTGTCAAAGCTGGTGCCACGCCTGCCACGCAAAACGACAGTGGATGTGAGTTTGTGCCACGCCTGCCACGTGAAACGAAGGTGGATGTCACCAAGTGCCACGCCTGCCACGCAAAGTGGCGCGGCGCCCCGGGCGACAAATCCGGACCAAGCGCGCCACACAGTACCATGAGTGCCACGCCTGCCACGCAAAACGATGGTGGATGTGAGTTTGTGCCACGTCTGCCACGTGAAACGAAGGTGGATGTCACCAAGTGCCACGCCTGCCACGCAAAGTGGCGCGGCGCCCCGGGCGACAAATCCGGACCAAGCGCGCCACACAGTACCATGAGTGTCACGCTTGCCACGCAAAACGATGGTGGATGTGAGTTTGTGCCACGTCTGCCACGTGAAACGAAGGTGGATGTCACCAAGTGCCACGCCTGCCACGCAAAGTGACGCGGCGCCCCGGGCGACAAATCCGGACCAAGCGCGCCACACAGTACCATGAGTGCCACGCCTGCCACACAAAACGACGGTGGATGTGAGTTTGTGCCACGCCTGCCACATGAAACGAAGGTGGATGTCACCAAGTGCCACGCCTGCCACGCAAAGTGGCGCGGCGCCCCGGGCGACAAATCCGGACCAAGCGCGCCACACAGTACCATGAGTGCCACGCCTGCCACGCAAAACGACAGTAGATGTGCGTTTGTGCCACGCCTGCCACGGGAAACGACAGTGATGTGAGTTTGTGCCACGCCTGCCACACAAAGTGCCGCGGCGTCACAGGCGCCCAAGCCCGTCCAAGCGCGCCACCCAATGCCATCTGTCCCACGCCTGCCACGCAAAACGAGAGTAGATGTGAGTTTGTGCCACGCCTGCCACATGAAACGACAGTAGATGTGAGTTTGTGCCACGCCTGCCACGCAAAGTGCCGCGGCGTCACGGGCGCCCAAGCCAGTCCAAGCGCGCCACCCAGTGCCATCTGTCCCACGCCTGCCACGCAAAACGACGGTGGATGTGAGTTTGTGCCACGCCTGCCACGTGAAACGAAGGTGGATGTCACCAAGTGCCACGCCTGCCACGCAAAGTGGCGCGGCGCCCCGGGCGACAAATCCGGACCAAGCGCGCCACCCAGTGCCATCTGTCCCACGCCTGCCACGCAAAACGAAGGTGGATGTCAGGTTGTGCCACGCCCGCCACGTGAAACGAAGGTGGATGTCAGGTTGTGCCACGCCTGCCACGCAAAGTGGCGCGGCGCCCCGGGCGACAAATCCGGACCAAGCGCGCCACACAGTACCATGAGTGCCACGCCTGCCACACAAAACGACGGTGGATGTGAGTTTGTGCCACGCCTGCCACATGAAACGAAGGTGTGGACAAAGTGTGTGTGGACAAAGTGTGTGGTGACAAAGTGTGTGTGGACAAAGTGTGTGTGGACAAAGTGTTCGGTGACAAAGTGTGTGTGGACAAAGTGTGTGGTGACAAAGTGTGTGTGGACAAAGTGTGTGTGGACAAAGTGTTTGGTGACAAAGTGTGTGTTGACAAAGTGTGTGTTGATAAAGTGTGTTCACAAAGTGTGTGGTGACAAAGTGTGTGTGGACAAAGTGTGTGTGGACAAAGTGTTTGGTGACAAAGTGTGTGTGCACAAAGTGTGTGGTGACAAAGTGTGTGTGGACAAAGTGTGTGGTGACAAAGTGTGTGTGGACAAAGTGTGTGTGGACAAAGTGTGTGTGGACAAAGTGTTTGGTGACAAAGTGTGTGTTGACAAAGTGTGTAAAGTGTGTGTGGACAAAGTGTGTGTGGACAAAGTGTTTGGTGACAAAGTGTGTGTTGACAAAGTGTGTGTTGACAATGTGTGGTGACAAAGTGTGTGGTGACAAAGTGTGTGTGGACGAAGTGTGTGTTGACAATGTGTGGTGACAAAGTGTGTGGTGACAAAGTGTGTGTGGACAAGTGTGTGGTGACAAAGTGTGGAGGAGGGCGGAGGAGGAGAAGGCGGAGGAGCCCGGGATACAGAATCAAAAACAAGAACCCCACACAAAGATGTGGGGAAAAAAACCACATCTGGACATTAGGCCATCAACAACTGGGCCTAACTATATATTTTCATCATATCCTCATGGTATTCAATACATTTAGGCCTCAAAAAATGCCCACAAAATCTCCATTGGAATTTTCACACATGATATCCCCACTCCATGAAATGATCAGTGATATTCATTAGATATATCTCCATTACAACCCATGCTATCCATGAAATCCCGTTGTATTCCGTTATATCCCAAGAAAAAAACCATTGGATACCAAAAAATATCCGATATGATCCGATATTATCCACCATTCTATCCCATGATTTTCCGTTAAATAGCCATGATATTCCGTTACATCCCATCTTATTCCCATTGGATCCCCATTGGATTCCCCACAGGATCCCGGCCATTTCTCGAGTTTTTCCAGGCCGCCAAGCGTGCGCAGCAACAACTGCAAGAGGTGCTCAGGGGGGGTCGCGCGAGAAAACTGGTGGTTCAATGGTGGTTTCAATGGGATTTTCATGTGATGCTCATGGGATGTTAGATTCGTTGGTTTCATGGGATGCTGATCAGCTGTTAATCGAATGTGACATATTGTGAAATGGTGTTTTTGTTTGGCGATGTTAATGAAGTCTTGCTGGAATGTTAAGTGGTGGTTTCATGCGATCCCAATGCGATGTTAAATGATGCTAAATGTTAAATGGTGGTTTCGTGGGATGTTAATGAGATGTTAATTTGGTATGCAACTAGCGGTCTCTGATTTCTCTGGGAATGGGGGTAGCTTACCCACTTTATGACATGTTGTTTTTTCGGTAAGATGATGTTCCGCACGAGAATGACAACCATTGGAGTTCTGGGGACGCCATTGTGGTTCGCCACCAGGCGCGTGCGCAGCATGTCGAGCAGCTGTCGGTGTTGGAGAAGGAGTTGGCAGAGTTGAAGAAGGAGGCGCTTAGCGCCGCTTGTGGCAGTTCTGGGAGACAAAGTATCTTAGACCCATTTCACCAAGGACACAAAGCTGGTGATGTTTACAAGAAAAGAACATGTGATGTATGATTTAACCATATTTAACCAAACTGAGCTGAAAATTAATGAACCATCAAGTGGGATTCTAACAGACAAGAATGTAGTTGAACCTTCAAAGAAGTGAGGTATTACGAAGCAACGGGATGTCAGCAGCCAAAATGGGGACCCGAAACAAAACAGCTGAAATTGGCATGTCCGATCAAACATCAGATGAGGATCTTATTAACACCCAAACATACGCAAACACAAGGACTTTACCCTAGAATGATGAATAATGATGATATTCATATAATGGAGAGAGATATGTATATACATATGATTATATAATATATGTGTATATTGTTTTGACATGACATATGCATACATATGCCCCTTTTGATGATGGATTGATACTTCCCCTTTTTCTGTACCGACCAATCTTTGGTGTAATTCTGAACGGCGGATCCCAGTTCCTGCAGATTGTCATCTGGTTGTTACACCGCATATCACCGCATTCAGAAATTCAACCAATTGTCATCGTGAAAATTGCGGTGAAATCATTTGATGTGTATTAGTATCAGGTGAATTAACTGGTCTAAAGCAGTTTTTTTTGGCATTTGGTAGGTTGCTTGATTTTTCTTGAGATCACTAAAGTCTGTGGGAAATCCAATGTTGCGCAAGCAGTATCAGAAGGCCTGATCCTGGGATATCCTGGGTCTGATCCTGGGTCAAAACCCCCAGTTTGAGAGTCATGCAGAGGTCCAATCATATGGAATAATTGGTGGTATGATCTGTTTTTTAGTTTCTGAACATAGTTATTACATAGTTATTACCCTCTGGTAAATTAACATAGACCCTGAAAATCACAAATTTTTAGAGGAAACTAATCTTCCAACCCCAACAACTACCAGGGTCTATGTTAATTTACTGGAGGGTAAGCAATGTAGATTATGATGGGGATGGATATTTTAATAGAGTATCATAATGTTGGCAATGAAGTTGCCATTTGGATCCATTTGGAGGATCATCATGGATATGACCCATTTTTGGATAAACAAATGAAGAAGTTGACTCCCCTTACGAGTCACCCAGTCACCCTCTCCAGGTGTCTGATGCTCGCATGTCCGCGGCTGCCTCCGTGCGGAGGGAGGTGCAGCATGAAAAAAGTGGAGTTCCCATATCCGATAGCTAAGTTGGTTTATCACTCCCATATACTCCAATAACTATGCTTTATGAATCTTTATGATACTTATAACACTAGTGAATTAACCCCACACTATGGTTTAATCACTATGTATCAGTTTATAACTATGGTATTCGTGTTTTTTTGGAGCTGACCAACTAACATCACTTTTTTTGGTTCCTCATCCAGCAGAATCTCCAGGCGCGTGTGGAGAATATCGCACGAAGGCACGAGCTGGCCGCCAAGCGTGGCGAGGACGGGAGATCTCGTGCCTTTTCCTGGAGAAAGTCGGACACTGAAACTCCACCTGGAGTTAGTTTATGTTTCACATTTATTTTTCCATATATTGGGAATAATAATCCCAAGTGACTTCCAGAGAATCATTGACAATAGTTTATGTTAGTTTGCATATTTTCCCATGTGTTTTTGGTTGGTGGTTTTTAAAAATGGCATCCCATTGTTGGACAAACCAACACTAACGAAAGCGCCAACGGAGCACGATTCCGAAAGCTTGTTTTTCAGAGATGTCAAGGATGCCAATATTGTATGTAACCAAAGAAAGTATGAGCATACATGTGTAGAAAATATTCAAGACTTGTCACTTGCCATAGAAGCATCCATAATGACTGCTGACAACAACCAACAATCATCCTAAAGACATACAGCATGTGTTCATTCTCCTCATCACCATCACTATCACTAACATCACAACAATACACAACATGATATGAAATAATATGATATGATATGTTTCGATGGGTATCCCATGTTTTTTTTCACATTTCAATCTTTTGATTATCGTCACCACAGCCACGGTTAGGAGCTCGCTGCACTCTTGGCTTGCATGAAGGCGAACCGAAAAGGAATCCAATAGGGATCCACATGGAAGTGATGACTTTGCTTCTCGCGTATTCGCTGGCAATCATGGAGGTGTAAGGAACATTGAAGATTGAAACGCAATTGGATGTGAACCAGCTGAAAAACATGGAGGTATGTCAATATCACTCATTCTCCCACTTCCAATCATGAATACAAAATCGGCCAACCAAAACCGAAGAAATCCATACACATCATAGACATATATATAATATATATATATATATTATCATTATATATCTATATCATAAATCTTAAAAAATCGAAAACATTCGAAATCCTATGCATCCATCCTGCTCAGGCTTGGATGGGCGAAGTGGTCTTGTCGCGCAGCACCGTAGCACTGCGGAAAGAGGCCGGTTGTGGTGCAGCACTACCCCAACAAAAAGTGGCAAGAAATGACGGGAAAGTCATGATAAGCATTGATAAACATTGACAAACCATCGATTTGTTTGGGCCCCCAAGCTATTTTTTGGGCAGACAACCCATATTACTATTATTACTCTCATATTCCTGTGAAAAATATATCCTTCAGTTTCTGCTACTGTATTTGTTGTTGTTAACCATCATAAACTGAAGATTAGTTGATGCAACTGTTGGTTTCAACTATTGCTGATGTCTTAAATTCTATGGGTTTTGATCCGATGATCCAGATTAACTGATGTTTTGCAAATGGGTTGAAACATGTCGAAACATGTTGAAACCACCAATCGACGCAAATGATTGGAGAAATTGACGTTTCGACTCGTGAAACATGTTTGCGCTTGAAACTTGCCATGTTTTTTGCTCGGTCATCTCACCCCTTTGATGTGAAATCCCTTAGGGAAGAGACTTTTCTGCTCATTCTTGATTAATCACCTGTCCAGAAGCATGGTTTTGGCAGTGCAGAGAACTTTTCTTTCAAACCCCAAACCATCCCATGTTTTTGCTTCACGCGGCTTCCCCAAAGACTGAACCTTGAACCACATCAACTTCAACCCCATCCCCCAAAAACCATCCCAACCCCCCCCAAAAAAAAAACACCGCATCCCAAAAATCTACCCAAAAAATCTCCACCATCTCATCTTGCCATATTTTTCCTCAGTTTTTTCCCCAGGCCCAGGAGCGCCTGGCCGAGTCCCTGGCGCGTCAGCGCCTGGAAAGTCGCGGCGCGCTGCACCAGGCCTGGAGTGATGCGGCGCAGGCCTCGCGGAGAGCGGCGGCGCTGGAGCGGCGCCTCCATGAGACCCGCAGCGGTTCCGGGCGTCACTTGGGACGAAGTTTGGGTTTTTGTTGGGGAACCACCGGGGTTCCCATGCGGATTTTCGGTTGGAAAGCGATTTTGAACAGAGACATCAGAGACTGTGGGAGTGCGCAGTGATGCGCTTGGGGCAAAGCATTCTCTTCATTGGCAAAACCATTAAGCACAATAAATGTCTTCAATGCTGTCTGCACATTGCTCTTCTGCTTTGGCATCCAACTCACTATACAAAACACACACCAAAAATGGAGGTCCATGATTGGTTGAGACATTGGGTTTGCTTTGTTGTTTGTTTTTTTTGGGTTTTTGATTCCTTAGGATTAATCCAGACTAATCCAAACCAAATCTGATTCATCTTGCCCCCCAAGGCATTCTTGTCAAGTCATTATTAAAAAAAAACGTGTATATGGTAAACATGCGCAGCATTCCTTGGGGATGTGCAATTTTCCTTTTAAGGTGTGAAGCCTTTGGGGATGTAAAATTATGTTTTTAGTGAAGGACACCTTTCCTTCAAATGATAAATTGTGTTCCTGTCCCAGTAGAGCGCAGCTGGGTTCTTTAAAAGGAGTGCTATATTTTGTTCAAAGAAATGGTGTGATTGAAAGGATTCTTACATATTTTCAAAACATGGTGCAACTTTCAAAAGAGGCAGCTGATTCAACTTTCTTTTCGGTGAGTAAAATTCCTTCGAACAAATGGTGTGCCTTCCAAACAGGTGGCAGCTGGGTTTCTTTGAAAGGAGTGTTACATTTTTTTAAAGAAATGGTGCTACTTTCAAACATAAAGGCCAGCTGAGCTTCTCTGAGAGGAATGTTACATGTTTAAAGGACACACCGCATATTTTGACACAATATTGTTCCTGTTGTTTAAACTAAACTGTTTAAATTTTAAACAGGATTGCAACTTTAAGTTAAGTATTCAATCTTTGAAGAAAACAGCATCTGCCTGAAGGACTGTTACCATGACAAAGGAAGAAGACAGGAATATTGCACTTTAGAACACAATACACATTACACATCGTTTTTCAAAAGAATCCGACCTTCACAAAAAAAATGTCTTCCTGAAAAAAAACATTTGACTAGCTCAAAAGCAACCACTAGCTTATAAATGACAACAACTTTTTTGGTTGAAGTGGATGCATTGTAAGGAAAACTGCACTTCTTTGAAGAACATCATTTCTTCAAAGCATAATTGTTTGCTGGGAATGTAGCACAGGCACACAACTTAATAGACTATAGATATATTTTTCAATGAAAGCAAGTAACAAAACTGCATTGCCTGATACTGTTTGCAGTTTTGCCTTTAGCTCAATGTGTCGCCTTTTTTGGGTCAACAGCTGCGCTGCGCAGCTTAAACTCATTCGACATTATATGTACTTCTACTATTAACTAGAATATAACTTCAACGGTGACAGACTGCACCATGGCAGGGCATTGGTGTGAGATAAAATTCTCCAGAAATGGTGATAATAGATTGTATACCCCAATCCTACAATTTCTAGTGGGAACCATGATATGAACCACTGGTAATTTAGCAATACCCTATGACAATTCGATGCGGGAAACCAAATAGTTGGAAAGCCATTGGTGTTTTTCCCTTCCCGAAACTCTTTTTGGAGCGGCATTAATTTTCTGGGGAAGGTTGAGGAACATCCAGTTTTTTTTTGCGACTGTGCCATACTTGAAAGATATAGAAATTTCATTCAATTTCCTTAAAAAAACTCCAGGTGTGGGGTTGGTCCCCTCAGTCCCCTCAATCCTCAGGTGATATCGTCCCCTACGATGCTTCCAGACCCTCCACCGCCCTGGCCATCGAAGAACGGCTCCGCCGCAGCGACGCAGCCAGGGAGGCGCCGGAATCGGAACCGCCGCCGCGTGCGGAGGTGCTGCTGGTGGATCCGGCGAGGGATGAGATCCGGGCAGCGCGGGAGGGGCGCAAGGGGCTCTTCATCGCGGCGCTGAAGCAGCAGGCAAAATATTGGCAGGCGGAAGCCTTCAATGCGTGGTGCAGGGTTTTCCTGCAGGAGCGAAATGTGACAAAGACGTCAGTGGACATATTCATGGATGAATTGGAGATTGAAAGATGTGGAAATCTTTGGTGAACCTGGTGAACCCTTGCAAGAGTGGACCAGTGCGCTGCGGTGTGCTGACAAGTGGATGGAAGCCCCAAAGTTTATCACCATCCAGCTCCCTCCAATCCATCTGTATGTAGAATGTGTTGATTTTTTGATACTTTTTGTCTAATCCCGCCATGTTGTGCTTCATTCTTCGATACTTCAAGTTTCACAGCTTCTACATGGCAAGCCTAGGTTAATGATCCAACATCATCTAACCCTGAAGAAAATCCCCAGGTTCATCAGAGCCGACCCTCGAAGGACCGGTGCCAAAAGTTGCAGGCTCTTCTGGACATGCGGAAGAAGGCAGAACTCTGACTGGTTGGTGGTTGGTTGGTTTTACCCGACAACCTGATGGGTATTAACCAGAAAAACAATGGGTCAGCCAACCATTGGTACATTGGTTGACTGGTTTGTTCCAGCATGTGTTGTACATGTTCAGTGGTTCATCATCCATAAGTGGAACTTCAAGCAGTAAACATGTTCTCAGATGATGGAAACGGAGTAGAACCGATGTCCACCTTGATTGTTACCATCCACTTGTCATGTTATAGTTGGGGCATGGATTATGGCATCGGGTGAATCCCCCATTATCGTTGTTCAACGGTAACAACATCCGATTTGGGACGATAGTCCGATAGTCCAAATAATGAGCTTTCAGATACGAAAGTTCGGTATGACAGCTATTCACAACAATAGAGATGGAGAGTAATAAACTACTGGTAGTCACGGGATTCAGTAAGCTGGTTGATGGTTTGTTGTGAGTCTTGAAAACACCTAATTATTGCACAGACAATACCAAAGGTTCAAATTATGGTTGATCATTGGCATCATCCTAATCCGGATTCATTATCAAGTCAGCCCAAGCATAATTTGGATTAATTTTGGATTAATAGGACAATGAGGATTATATTAGGATGATAGGTAATATGATCAAATATACTGGTAATACATGGTACAGGTAATACCCAATAAGCATGGTATAGAATGAACCCAGCTAGTTGAGGCCTGCGCACCGGCAACTCCACGCTCAACAAGATCGAGGTGCCTTTTTTGTTGTCGAACAGGCGTCGTCAATAGTCGTGGCGATATCCAATTGGCCCCTATGGAATAGTTCGAAGTCAAAGATGGAAGATTTCTTGACTTCCGCCATGTTTTTTACCAGGAAGGGTATGTCAAATGTATGCCCAACGCAACAGAGTGAAGCACAGCTCGTTTGCAGCTTGCGCAAAGTAGGACATCTCCTGTTCAAGAAAGTAAGGGGGGAATCAAGTTCCAGCATATCCGAAACTGTTGGATCAGGTAGAACTACTTCGGGACTATATAGCATCAACCAACAATTTGTCTACCCTGACTACTAATTGGGGAGAAACTCCAAAATATGAAGAAATTGCTACTAGACCTGGTTTTCACCCATTGGTAGACTGGGACTTGGTCCAGCTGAGCCGTTTGAACAGGCCATGCTTCGGCATATCATCTCTAAAGGATATGTTACTTCGTCATGACCTGTTCGACTCATCTTGAGTGAACCATGGCGCTTGGCGTGTTTTGGCCTTTCCCATGTTTTTTTGGATTCTGAATTGGCATTGGGGGCATGCGCGGGTCAAAGCTAGAACAATGGTGGGCGATCCAAACATCAAATGAAGCAAACAAATCATGTAACCAGAAATCTTGCAGTTGTGCAAGTCTTCGAAATGCCAAAACGCATACAGATATCAACACCGATCCCACATGTCCGAAGTTCAAAGGATCTGGCACAGCTCAAGCCGTTCCGAAATTCTACCCTTGAAGTGCCCAAACGCATGGTCTACCAGCAGCTTCATTCAGATATCGTGGTGAGTCACCATATGAAAACACCCCTTTTTTGTGGGTTAAATCCAGGCCTTGACGTTCCATGCCGGGGGCCACTGGTAATGCCGGGGGCCATGGACTGGTACCGCCAGGCATTCATATGTTTTTGAATGTTTTTGACGTGTTTTGCATGTTGGGGACTAGATGATCTAGATGTGTTTATCATGTATTTATTATATCATATTAACCTATATTAACAGTTGAAATTTCACTGGGAAATCAACAAACCACAAAGATGCGGTGACCTAATCAATGATAAACCGTATTTTGAGTGGAAGGATACTGTTATATATATATATTTATATACGTATATATATATATATATATATTCATATATTTATATGGATACAGATGAGGAAATTCCTATTGCTGGGTTAGGTGCTTGGATTGCCGACGGCTTGTGCTTGAAGTGCAGCAATGCCAGTTTCGACCCATGCCTTTTCAACCATTCAAAATATTGCATGCAGCGGTATGCATAAATAAATAGTATTTTCGGGTTGCACGCTTGTTCGCGCAACCTTCAAGACTCAGGGACCTGCAGTTCATGTTAATTTTCAATCTTCGGGCACAGTACCCCTCACTTCAATGGGCTATCATCATTTTCACTAAATTCCGCCATATTTGGGGAGTGAAATTCACCATTTTCAGGCAAAACTTAAATATTATGGTATATACAATTATATACGTGTGTATATATATATATATAATTATTCTATCTTATTGCGTTATTGTGTATGTTATCACTCCTCATATCCCATGAACATGCCATTTATATACATCCTTTCAGGTGATCTTTGTCCACCAATTAATCTACCAAGTGGAGCTTTAGAGTCAACTTTAGAGAAAAATATAAATCCTATAGATCTGAATAGTTTTAGGGGATACAATCAACAACCCATTAAAAACCACATCTAAACCACCATCAAACCATGGTCCATGGTCCGCCAAATCTGAGGTTCATAATCGCTCGCTGCCTCCCTGAAGGGACGGCTGCGATTTGGTGCGGCGCTGCATGGTGGCAGAAAGCTGCACCTGCAGGGCGCTGACGGCAACACCGGAGACGAACTGGGGCATCAGGATATATCAATCAGGATATATCAGGATTCAAACATGCTGAATTGTTAGGAGAATTGTGGAGCCCGACTTCCATTGTTGCCGTTCGGAGATGCACCTGATGCGGCATGCTTCGCCGGAAAAAGATCGCAGTGCAGCTCTGCGCAACTGCAGCTTCCGCAGAGGTGACCGGACAAAATATACATCCAGTTGAACGGCGAAAAGGAAGGGGGTGAATGACCATGCTGAGTTACCTCTATTGCAACTGAAAGGTAGTGAGGGCAATGGTTGAGAGAGTGGAGGATCAATTGGTTTACACTCAGGCAATACTCAAGCAACCAAGTATACGTAGTGTTGCCGCGTGCAGCAGCTGATTCGCGCAGCGATGCAAACGAAACAATTCCCTACGCAACTTGTCCCCGTTCGCGGGCCGGAACATGACGCGTTGCCAGGCGAGTATGCCTGAAGAATGCAGTACCAAAGGCAAACACACATGGCAAACACACATGGCAAACACACATGGATAAATGTTTAGTACCATTCCCACGTCGCCGTGCATTTTTTCTTGGCGGGATCCAGCGCAACCACAGTTTAGTGAGCCAAAAAATGTGGCTTCCTTTCAGACGGCCAGGTGGCTTCTTAAAGCATCCAGCTATAGCTATATAGTCTATATGAAAAGAGCCTTCACCGCAGCAGATATCCTAATACAGCGGCAGATTATCCATCGTGAACCATCGTGAATCGTGTATGGTTTTCCATAGTTCCAAGTCGATGTAGCCAAAGATAGCAGAGACTTCTGTCATATAGCATCACGGCGATCGATTGGATTGTGGGATCCTAACTGTCGTTGCGCCATTGTCATCCTATGTCATTCTTACTGTTGTAATTGTTGCTGTTCTTCGTTTTTCTCCTTCTTCTGATTCTTAGTATTGTTCTTCTTGTTGTTGTCGTTGTCGTTGTTGTTGTTGTTGTTGGTGGTGGTGGTGGTGTTGTTGTTGTTGTTGGTGGTGGTGGTGGTCGTGGTGGTGGTAGTGGTGGTGGTCGTCGTGGTGGTGGTGGTGGTCGTCGTCGTGGTGGTGTTTTTGTTGTTGTGGTGGTTGTTGTTGTTTTTGTATGTTTTTATTTTTGTTTTTGTTGTTGTTGTTGTTGTGGTTGTTGTTGTTGTTGTTGTTGTTGTTGTTGTTGGGTTTTGGTTGCTAATACTGTTTGTGATTATTTTTAGTTGCGGTTACGTTAGACCTTACAGAGACGTCTCAGTTGTTCCAGTTTCCCACGTTTTGTTTATCTTTTGTTGCTATACTTGTGTTTTGGGCGGCTGTTTTCCTGAGCACATTGCAAGCCAGCACCACAAGTTTAAGACTGACTACTCGTCGGAGGAAGGGGAATGGAGACTGTAAAGAGCGACAGGAACTGGCGCACAAAGGGCCAAGCGTCAACCCTCGGACACCCAGAAGGAACAAAGAATGCTTTGCCACACGTACTTCTTATGGGATCAGCAGGCACATAGAACGTCAACATACGTCAACTATATCATATGCAGTCTAAAGGCATATAAGATATCCCAAAATAATGTGGTTCTTTTTGAAAGGTTCACCACCATTTTCAGGCCAAACATGACAAACCTATAGTTGAAACAGTGCTGACGCGGCGCAACTTGCCTGGCAAATTTCGGTGCCACTGTCGTTGCGCGCAGCGGCATAGCGCCGCGCATCCTCTGATATCGCCAGTCATGGTGGACTGAAAACGAATAGAATTGGATTTTGGAATGCCTCGGCCATACAAAACTTCATAAAACTTCATAAAACTTCAAAACTGATCATAGAAGATCAGGATGTTTGATACTGTTTGTAGGTATTTGATGGCATTTCTGGTGGCTTCGTCCCTGAAATCACTAGGTGAATGAGAAATTGGTAGGCTGGCACTGTCGCTAACAGCCTGGCTCAGCTTGGCACCCCACCCTGGGCGCTCGAAAATTTTGGAGATTCATTCACAAGAATTGAATAAAGTACACAAATATCAAAACCAAATGAAGGTATCACTCAGGAAGACTGACATTAAACATGCAAACGCTAGTGGATGAGGATCTTTGGGTTGTCGTGAAACCAATGCAAACATATTAACCCCAATGCGTCACGAAGACAACGTAATCGCAGTGAAATCATAATGTTGAAAAGCGCAAAGCCCAATACCAGCACCACCACCAACACCACAAGCAGCAACAACAACAAAAACGACGTCGACGGCAACAACTTGCAACAAGGACAACAAGGAACGCAACAACACCGACAACAATGAGAACAAAAACAAAGACAACAAGAACAACAACGCAGAAGAATAAGAAGAAGAAGAAGAAGGAGAAGGAGAAGAAGAAGAACAACAACAACAGCAGCAGCAAGAACAACAAGAACAAGAAT